TTTTTTTCCGAGATACCGAGAAAGCATTTCCAGCGTAAAAACATTCGTCGATCGCGCGAGCTGTGTGAGAGCGACAAGGAGGGAGTGATATTCTCCCTCTCGCTCGGAACGGCCGAGCGCTGCCGACACACCGATAGACCGAGCGTCATTTGTGTGTGTAGTGGAGGGGGAAATTCTCGTGCGTGCCGGGGCTCGAAATCGCAGCACTGCGTCCCTGGCGCCCTTCGCGCAATATGGCGAAGTACACACGAGTACGACGATGCTCCAAATAATCCCAAACCAAAGCCGCTTCGCCCGATCCGCGTTGTCGTACGACAAACCTCGTCGTAGCGACGGTCGCCCACCTCCAAGAAATCCCGGCCGAGCGCCCCGGCCGACGGGCACGAGGGCGCCGAGAGCGCGTCGAGAGCGTGGGCTCCGAAAATGCGAATGCGGAGGGGTCGGACGCGCGCGGACACGCTCTCGGTCGGCCGACGAGTTTCCCCGTAAAATACCGCGTTGTTCTGCGGCTATCCGGCGACGTGCGGCGGATCCTAGTCAAGTATACCAATCGCGGACGATCGGCGGCGCGGGAAGATGCTCTACCTCGAGGATTACGTCGAAAGTGCGTACGAAATGCGGCGCGCACGGCTCGCCCGCGAGATCCTAACCTCCGTTCCGTGGTCGCGCGGCTAACCTAAAAAGGCCCGTCTCGCCCGCGCGGGCCCGCGGCGAACGCAGCCATTTTTATTTACGGTCCGCGATCCGCGCCTCCTTTTGCGCGCCGATCGCGACCCGCCCGCGATTCCGTCGTAAAATGCGACGGCGAGGTCGTGCCCTCGACCTCGCGTCGAGAGGTTAGGCGCGGTGTCTGATCGGCACGGCGAGACGCGCGTTGCCGAAAAAGATTAATAAATTATCATTCAAATCTGCGGGCTCGACGTTAAATTTCATTGTTTTCATGCCTTTCCAGAACTAATTAAAAATTCATTAAAAATCCTTCCTCTAGAGTAGTACAACTCCGATGTACTTAGTAATGATGTATTTTTTTTTGTCAACACGAATATGAGGATGAATAGTAATAATGAAATATTACAATCCTAAGGAGTACTGATTTTTATGCTATAGATTTAATATTTGTTTGCGAATAAAGTAGATGAAATAGACAGTTTGATATAAAATTGTGTGGCAATCGAAAGACTCGTTGCATTAATATTAATCACAGAGATTGTCGGGAATAAAATATAAACAATGCGGAAGAGTATTACGTAAGAAACTAATTCAGGAATAGTTGTATGTTGAAGTTTAGAAGTTGGTAATGATCTCACTTTGCTGATGTCTGTCTTACCGTTTCAGTGATCGAGCATCTTCCACAGGAGTTAAGGGACCGGTTTACCGAGATGAGGGAGATGGATCTTGGTGTACAAAGTGTGTGTCGTTCGATACGAATAGTTAAACCTAATAAAAGCGATAACAAGAATAATTCATGTAAAACTAATGTCAAATCTGTCCGCAGATTCCATGGATAGCCTGGAAAAGAAAGTGAAGACGTTCTTTTCCAACGCCAAGAAGATGAAGCTCAGTGAAAAGGAGGCGGAATACGAGGCTATCAGGAAAGAGTACTATAAGACTCTGGAGGATGCCGATGAGAAGGTCCACTTAGCCAATCAGATGTACGACTTGGTGGACAGGTACCTGAGGAGGCTCGATCAGGAGCTGCACAAGTTCAAGATGGAATTAGAGGCGGACAATAAGGGCATCACCGAGATCCTGGAGAAGAGATCACTGGAGCTGGACCAGCCACCTACGAATAGTAGCCAAAAAGAAAATCGTTACAGTTTTACTCCAAGCAGAACGCGGGACAATCACAGCCATTGTAAGTGTAATGTCCCTAATAATGCGAATTTTCAATTCACGTTAGACGAAAGATGTATTATTACGTTAAACTCACATAAATCTCAACATTATCAGGTTACTTCAGGATAATCTGTAAAATTCACTGAGCACTAATTATAAATTCATTCTAAACGGGATAAAATCGTAATGTGTAACAATTTTCAGATGTAATTTCCAAATTTTAAATTAATTTTAGCTCGGTCGGAGAAGCGACGGGACTCCAATGCATCTTCTACGTCGGTCGAGAAGAGGCTGGCAATTGAGAAGTTGCCAGCGACGACGAGTCTACCGGAGTCACGACCAGCGTCAGCGAATTCCACGCCTATTATCGCGACGAGTAGTGTCGCACCGGCGCCGGCAGCGATTGCCAATTCTGTGGGATCGGTATGCTATAATCTCGGCCATATCGGTGCCGGCGGTAATGCTATTGCAGCGGCCGCGTCGCAGGCGATCGCTGCCACGCAATCAATGCAACAGGGCAGACGATCCGCCAGTCTAAAGGCGAGCTATGAGGCCATTAACACCGGCGGCGTACACGCCGCGGAATTCAGCAGGGAACTCGCCGGTGCGGCGCAAACCGCCATCGCCGCCATACAGGAGACCACGAAAAAGCATAAAAAGTACATGAGATGTGTAAAAAGAAGAAGCAAATATCAACTAAATTTGTCTTATTAATTCTCTTTATGGAAGTATCAATAATAATTTAGATAATAGATCAATTATACTGAATTAGATGTTTCTAAAATAAATGTTTTTAATTAAAAGACTAGACAGTCTTAGCAGTTAGATAGTCATAGATATTAGATTTAAAATCTCTGTTAAATTAGGGGTGCTATACAATTTTTTATTTAATTTTGTGGAAGAATTAATTTCCTGTACGGTAATTGTTTAAGTAACACATTGCTGTTACGAATTTTAGAAAAGTAACAGCCACCGTGCCGAGTTCGAGCGTGATCGCAGCTACGGTGCAACAACCCGTGTCACCACCGGTGGTTACCACAACTACGCAAGTAGTGGACCCGGACAATCCAGATTGGACGTACGATCCGAACGAGCCGCGCTATTGCATATGCAATCAAGTGTCGTACGGCGACATGGTTGCTTGTGACAATTCAGACGTAAGACTCGTCGGCATCTTCCAAATAAATTACAAGCGGATAGATGTATAACGATTGCTTTTAGTGCCCCTTTGAATGGTTCCATTATCCATGTGTGGGCATCACCGCGCCGCCCAAGGGGAAGTGGTACTGCCCTCAGTGTACGTCCTCGATGAAGAGGCGTGGCGGACGGAAGAACTGATTAGGTGAGGAGAAGAAGGAGAAGAAAAAGCTAAGGAACCTTGTTGACCACGTTAAGAAAGCATTGTTGCTACTACCTCTTAGACACTGTCCGTCGAGTACCGACTTAGTTAGGAAGCCATTATTAGCTCTGATTTTGTATAACTTTTTCAATGTGCTGTTTCGAGTCCGCGTCGTCATCTTGACCTTCGGTCTTCTTTTTTTCGCAATTGACCGAACATACACAGGTACGACAATGTTCTATCAAAATCTCGAAGTACATCTAACGGATAAATCGACAGATTTCATATACATCTCAATATGTTTCGCATACTGCCGTTACCCCTCTGAGCAATAAGGGAAACGGGACGAGGTAAACAAAAAGGTGATTCGGAAAATATAAGAATCGTTATAATGTATTCTTCGACGAGTTTGAAATTGACTTGCTTCTCCTCAAAAACTTAGATTTAGGTATTAGGTATTTAATAGAAAACATTTCCCGATTAATTAGGCTGTAAATAAGTAAAGGAGCTCCAGTTTTTTAAGTAATTTTAGATGAGCCTTAGTTTAATAGAAACTTAATTTTATGTAAAATTTGAACCTCCAATATTTAATGTGTTGAAAATGAAGAATTTACTTTTTTGATGAAGGAAAACCGAACGCGAAACTAAACTTCGAATTCGTCTGAGGATAGCGACTTACTCTTTCGAAGCCACTTTATATAACGGATTCTACTAATTTCGAGGGAAGAATTGTAGCGAATTGGTGTATAAATAAAATCATCTATGCAGCGAGGCGAACGTTGCCAAAATGAATGGTCATATTTCTCTCGGCTAATTTACCACCATTTTCCGTATCCACAAGCACAATTCGAATTTATCTCATCTTTAATTTATCTTAATTTCACCCCTCTCGCCGCAAAGTCACAAGACGCAAGGTGATGTTCCGAATTTCATTTCGTGCATATTGATATCAATTTAAGATTCACTTACGATTGCGAATTTTCCTCCTCGGCAAGCTACAGTTATGTTAATCCTGAATCCCAGTAAACCTCGCAACAGTCTTTCCTCAAAATATTAATCAAGCAGCAGAGAAACCACAACATAAATATAAGTACAATTATAAAAGTAACAGCGGATATCTCTATGACTAATGTTTCTAGGTCCAACATTTTACACTATTAATAGACACCATACTCGGGATTTATTATCCTAATCGGCGACTGGATCGTGCGATCCTCGAAGAATTCCGATAAACGAATAGTTTGTCGAACACCCCGCCGCTTCGTGACATTTCAAGATCGCGTGTTCCATGTTTGTGTTTATCTACAGTTTCGTTTTCTTTTCGAGAAATTGAACGCAAAATATGAATTCTCACGCGTGCGAACTGCTGTTTCGAGCAACTCTATCCAAATGAATCCTGAGAGCAGAGATTTTCTAACCGAGTTAGAAGGCAAAATTGTAACGAATTGATATATAATTACTGTATAAATATAGTGAATCGTGCAATAGAGATGAAGGTCGCCGATATAAAGAATCACATTTCTGTCGACTAGCTGCCATTTATGAGTCAGCGAGCAATTCGAATTTATCTCGTCTTTATCTTAATTTCTCTTTTCCGCCATGAAATTGCCGGATGCAATTTAATATACACTCCATTTCACGTAGAAAAATATCGGTTCGACATTTACTTACATTTAACTGCTCGAAAATTTGTCCGAATATTCTCCAGTTATGTCATGTCGTCCTTGAAAGTAGTTCGGATTAAAACAGGAGAACAGAGGTGTTTCCTTTCAACATCTTTCGCGTACTCTCACATTAACTGATAGCAGAAAAGCAGCAAGAGAACAGTTATGACAGTTACTAAAACGAGAATCACATTCATTTCGCCGAAAAGTTCCATTTCGCTATCATGTGGCGTTGCTTGCTGTTTTAAATTAGCGGATTGTTAAACACTATATTGGCTGCATTCCGATATTCACTGTCAGCAACTTTCAGTACTGAAAATCTACAGTATACGTGACGTAAAATATAGATTTGCAGTACTGACAGTGAATATCGGAATGCAGCCATTAACACAGCACGCACTGTACGCGCAATTTATTATGTTCGGCGACTTGATCGTATGAATTTCGAGGGATCCCGAGGATTTTACGCGTACTGTCTCACGCCAATGTTTTCGCGAGATTGGGAAGTGTCTCGATAAAAGTCATGCGCGACATTTCGAAGCGATCGCGTTTCCGTCCATGAGTTTATATTTACGTTTTCATCACTCTTTAGAACACGAGATTTAAACTCGTGCGTATGGGAAGCCGGGTAGCGGCTGCCGTTTCCAGCGATTTTATTCAAATGAATTTTGGGGGTGCTGATTTTCGGGAAGAAAGATCTGCCCTGAATTAAACAAATAAAGTAAACAGTGCAGAGACGAATGCCGTTGCCGAGATAATCGTGCGCGTTTCTTCCGATTAACTGTCTTTTCGTGTTCTCAAACAATCCAAATCTATTTCATTCCTTTAATCCCTTTTCATCTCTGTTCTTTCGTTACGAACATTATTCGGCGCAGTCAATGAACGCTCCGAGCTCCGAATTTCATTTCATGCATGAGGATATAAATTCAAGAGAAACTTACCAATTGCTTGAAAATTGTTTAACTCCATTCGAATATTTCCGGTTATATTATTTCATTTGAATATGAATTTAGGTAACTTAAGCTTGATGTGATCAGTCAAATCAATTGGCAAAGGCATACCAAAACCAATGATGCGTTAAAGTATTGAGTACGAAAGAGAAAAGTAACGATATCTAAAGTTTCTACTTCGTCATTTTCATCCATTTTGTTATCAGTCGTTTGGCTATTGCTTCAAATCATCAAATAATTCAAACAAATGTTAACACTGTAACACATGACGTTAATAAAAATATTACTATATAGATATTATATTCAACGAATGTTCGAAAGTTCGTTCTGAGTATGAAAATATTAATTCAAGTTCTACTTACGGCCACTTAGAAATATTCTAGTCCTTTTCACATATGGTTAGTTTTGTCTTATTCTAAAATCTGATCTTCAATGTAAATTATACAGACCACGTTCTTACAAATAAATAAGTAATCAAATAAATGTAGAAGTACGACAACGTATATAAGTGTAAAAATAAGAAAAATCTGTATATGTATCTGTAAAATATATGTCCATTTCGTGATTATATAGTCATGTACCGATTGCTTCAAGTTATCGAAAAACTTGAATTAATGATGTTAGTGCACAATTAACAGTATACTCACTAAGTGCACGACTGATTATCGCGATCACCGACTTTTGGAGAGAGCTTGGAGGACAAATACGATCTATTTCGTGTCAATATTTCTCAAAATATTTTATTGTCTCGCGACGGAATTTGGTCGTGTATACCTGTTTCCACATTTATGTTTACATTTCTATTACTTCTATCACTTCTATTACTTCTATTCGCGGGGAAAAGTCGTTCATACATAAAATATGTCTATATATGTTTTCTACAATTATAGATAACATGTATAGAATATTGTATAATATTACTCCAATTTTACTTTTTGTAAAAAGAACAATGCAAAGTTATTTTTCTAATTATTTTTTTATGTACGAACTTTATATATACTTTTATATATACGAAGTATATATTATATATACAGATATTGTACAACGGAAAGAAAACATATATGAATATATTTTATATACATAAAATTTTATCCCGGATTTCTATTATTTCAGGACATCGAACACGAAATTCACGTGCGAGAATAAAAATGGCATATCTTCAAAAAATTTTCAGAGCTCCACATAATTTCTTTGATTTCGAAATTTGATCAGCAGAATTATAACGGTTTGATGAAGTCGGTAAACAAATTAATAAATGAAATAACTCGCCGAGATAATGCATAAAAATAATAGAAGATTTAACTCACCGGTCAGAGATTCTCTCAGAGACTTCATCTTTGCAATTCTGCTGTTACGCTTGTTTGTGAATGAAAATTGCATAAGTTGAAACCAAAAATTCCACATTATATAGCAAAGAATACCATATCTAAAGCGTAATTGAATAATTACGCATCGTAGTAACGTCCTACATTTTATGTTCATAATAAATTGTCCATAATAAATTCCTATGTCCATAAAAAACTGAAGGAACTATATACGTCTCATATTATATGTTAACATTATAATGCACACGATTTATCACCACAATCGATTATTCCATTGTATACTAACTTCGAAGAGAACTAGAAAACAAATTTGTTTCACGTCAATATTTCTTATAAATTGGCGAGCAACTTGCGGATAAAAGTTTCAAATCATTTGGCGTATGATCATGCACGTTCATGTTTACGTTATTACCTTAGCATAGTGAACGCGAAATTCTGACTGGATGCAGCAATTGTTTGCTGCATTTAAAGTTTGATAGAGAATCTGCCGATTTCCAAAAAAAAAAAGCGAATTGATGTAATCGAAACTGTAATTAGTGTACAAATGATGAACATGTCGAGACAAGATATCGCTATTAAAATAAATTTTGCTTATTCCAATTAACTAATCATTATTTTGAGTACAAGTCTTTCAGACTTTATACAAGTCTCGTCTTCAATCTTCTACCCCTTTCTGTAATAAGTTTCTTTTAGATACAATCAAAACACGTTTGAAATTTTTTCTCGTATAGGAAAATATATCAATTTTAAGATTCACTCACCGATCATTTAAAAATTTTTCTGAGATTTTTTCAGAATTGTTTTCACGTTATCTTTGCTTCATTAAAACCTATTTCCCCGAAAACTTAATTATAATTTCAGAGATACATTTTGTCAAAGCAATTATCATAAAAGAACTAATAGTATAATCAAAAAGATAAAATACAAGCACTGTCATAGCATTTTGTTATCGTAGTATTCATTATTTCAAATTATTGAGAGGCTTTCAATAATGATGGTTAATATAATTAATAATAGCAATCAATGACGTTGAATGCTTTTGAGATGCACTCTATCTGAGAGAGATGTTTCTTTAAAACTATATAAAGACAATCTTGCCAAAAGCTGGACATTATTATTTTAGAACATTTTTGAAAATATATTTGTCCTATAATTTGTATAACTATCTTGATTGTATAACTATTTGTATAACTATTTTGATTTGTGTGTTATGTTCGCGTCATCTCTGAGGTACCGGATGCGAAATTTGAATACACAGCATATAGCAATCGTCTTTTGGAATCACCCTATAGACAAATATTAATGTTTTTGAACTATTGTAAAAAGACGTATAATTAAAAAAACAATGTAGAAATGAAGTATTTTAATTGTTGAGAATCAAGATGAATCATATCTAAATTTCTTTGAATTAATTAACCATTATTTTAATATTCACAATTTAAAATATCTTATCTACTCTTCGGAAATAATTAGTTTGTCAAACACAGACAACATACGTATACGCGTAAAATTTTTTTTTCTTGCATAAAAGTATCAATTCCAGTTTCACTCACCGAATATTTAGAAATTCTTTTGCAAATGTTCCTTCAATTAGCAATTATAGTCACATTATTCCATTATATTATGATTCTCTTGCATCATTATTTTTATTGTTGATGATCCCATACTCTCGACCATACCAGTACCGCTAAATAAGAAGATATGAGCATTTCAAGAAACTCGCCGACAGTTATTGATCCTTCTAAATGTGTCTTAATTAATGACATCAACAGGTTAAATAGATATAATATCAAAAAATATTTCACAATTCTCGCGATCATTTTATTGTCAGTTTAATCTTTCAAGTTAAAGCTTACGCTGACGACGTTAACAATAGACTGAGCGTGTAATTTATCGACAACCTGCGGATTCGTACTTCAGTAAGTCATAGAAGACACGATTTGCTTCGTGTCAATATTTCTCGAAGATTGACGAACATCTCGTCGGTAAACATTTTCGCGAAGATTTGAAACGGTCGTGCAATTATTCTATACTTTCTGTAACACATATTTGTCCACGTTTATGATTAAATTCATCTTTCCTTTGTCTGCAAAATAAAGGACGTGGAATTTGAATGCGCGGCACAGTATAACTGCCTCTCTCGCTTTTCTATATGTAGAAAAAAAATCTGATATTGATTTTACAAGAGAAATTATATAGCGTTGACATGTAAATAAAATAAACTTTACAGAAATACAAACGTTGCTTTTAAAATAAATCATTTTTATTCGATTTAACCAATCTTTATTTTGCTCTTTTTAAATATTATATTCGTATTTAACATGCACTTTTATATAATTTACATAATTTTTCTATTTATTTATTACAAATTTACTAAATTCAGCTAATCCACACTGCAACTTTCACTATAAAAATATTTAAATTTACTCACCGATTGTTTAAACTTGCGTGTATAAAATTAGCAGATTAAAATTCACTTACCAATCGTTTCTAGTGCTCCCGGATCCTCTTGAGCATCTTCAGTCCTATTTGTCATATCTATTCCCATATGTTTATTGTATTAAGTTAAACGAAAGAGGACTCGTTAATGGAAAAAAAACGGTGTTGTTTACGCCTTTAGCAATAACAATTAACACCGTACGTCCGGTTTACCATCCCAACTCGCGAACTCGAGCGAACTCCCTCGAGAGTCCTAGAGAACAGATACGACCTGCCTTGCATCAACGTTTCTTAGGCCGGCAATCCGCCCGCGTTTGTATTTATAATATTTACATTCATGTGACACTTAATGCTAAGTCTACAATGCGGTCGTAAAATCGTGAGTCGTAAGAATTGACCAATTACAATCGAATTTGAGGAGAATAATCGACTGTGATTGGTCAATAGCTTACTGCTTACGTCTTACTGCATACTCTTGCTGCCATTGTTAGACGACGCTTACGAGACCCCCGCGGACATGAAATTCGAATGTATTGTATACAGTGCACCAAATGCTTTCCGCGGAGCTCTCTACTCTGTAAGAAAAATTCAGAATTGCCAAATCGTTGCGAATTAGTGGATATGTAATTTAATATAAACTGTGAAACATGGGTGTCGATGTGAAAATAAATGTTCACGTTTATCTCGATTAATAATTTTTCTATCATCAGCCGAAGGCCTTTCGTCACCTATTAATGAATTACTAAATAGTCACTTATTAATAAACGTTATCAAAAACATTAAAGGACACAATGAAATTGTTTTCATAATTAATCTATGGCCTTTAATCGTGGTCACTCATTAATAAACTATTACCAAAAACATGATAAACAATTATTTTCATAATTAATTTTTGGGATAATACTTTTTTTACATCTGACATATTGCCATATGTCTTGAAAATATGTACAAGCGGTTGTCAGAGCAACGAGTAGTAAAAGAACGAAACCAGCAGCCTTGCTCCTTTCCTGCCTATACGTGATATTGAAAACGCATGATCTATCTTTATGTCTTATATCGAGGGTTTTGATTATAAGTTCACGATGTACAGTGAAATACCGTTGTGACAGAGTGCCATTTATAAACATACTAAATAAATGCTATGAGAACAAAGAATGCTGGAAATCATATCGGAATTATCACGCGCCTTTTATCTTCAATCCGTCTAAACTGTCAGCATAGCTGTTTCGAAAATTTATTTAGCACAGTCTCTTCTGCATCATATCGTAGCTGTCATTTCTGCGTACGTATATTTTTGCTCATACTAGTATTTTTAATCGTAAATTCGAAAATAACGAGAGATACGCGATTAGTTGGGCGACTGGCGATGAAGGGGAAGAGTGGCAAACTTGGAGGTGATGAATCCGAAGATAGGATCGACGTTGATAAACCACTTTGGAACCAGGACACGTATCTCGGAAGATGGATGCATTACGCCTTCATCACCGACTGCCGCACGATACTCGTGCCGGAGGACAAATTGTGGGAAGCAAAAAAGCTCTGCGAGGACTACAAGTAAGTTGTAATGGTAAAGCTTTTTTTCTCTCTCTCTCTCCTTTCCCTAAATTAATTTTTTCACAAATCTCTTTTCAAATCAATTTGTTAGCGTTTCAATTTTTAAAGAAATCAAGTTTATTGTAAGGATTATTAAAAAAATAATACATAATTATTATATAATTATATATAATAATATAATATGTCACATATTATATATAATAATTTATATAATATAATTATATTAAATTATATAGTTATAATAATTTATTAAAAATAATTTATGTTTAAAACGTTGTTTATTATTATTTATCGTTCGACTGTTATTCAGAGCCGGGAAGGAGCCGGAGGGCTTGCAAAGAAAGGACATAATCTACGCGAAGAAGCTCAAGGATAGCGCCTTCCATCCCGACAACGGCGAGCTCATGCACGTGATAGGGAGAATGTCCTTCCAGTTGCCTGGTTCCGTCGCCCTCACCGCTGCCATGTTGACCTTCTACAAGTTAACTTTCTAGACAAATAATAAATAACCGTCCCACGCGCACGAATTCCCCCGCGATCAATCGATTCCCGTACGATTCTATTTCTATCGTGCACGATATTTTCTTCAGATCCGCCTTCGGCGTGATAGCCTGCCAGCTGGTTAATCAAGGCCTCAACGCATTTGTCAATTACACTAATCGAAACGCGATGAGCGACGAGCCGCAGGACACCGACGTTATCCGGCAGGCGTTCGTGCTCGCCACCGCGGCGAGTTGCGCGGCCGCTTTGGGATTCAGGAAGCTGTTCTCCACCAGAGGCACTCTCTTTGCAGTTAATTCACTCTAAATCTAATTCCTCGTTCTTTCCCGAATTTCCTGTTTTATTCATACGAACGTTTAAGAGACGTCATCAAACAATGTCTCAATTTTCCTCTAATCTCAAGAAAATGACAACTAATAAAATTCTATAAAACTGTAAATCTAATATAATTCGCGATCTCAAGACTTTCGATTATTTTACTTATAATTGTCATTTTTTAAGTATTTGGATTCCTTTTTCTTTTTAAATATCGGAAAATTAATTGTAACGCAAAGAGGAACGCAAGATCGATGTTTAAGACATTGTCTTCTTCATCGCAGAGATTCGCTCCGTTTTGCGCGGTGGCTGCCGGCAACATGGTAAATCTCCCCATCATGCGGCAACGGGAGATCGAACGGGGTATACCCATATTCGTCAAGAACGGTGACGAGGTGTGCATCATGAAGTCGCAGGTGGCCGCCGTCAAGGGTATCTCCGAGTGCATCTTCACAAGGATAATAATGGCCGCGCCCGGAATGCTGATGATCCCGATCATCACGCAACGCATGCGATCGTATTGCTTCTACCAAGTTCGTCCGTGGGTCACATTTCCCGTCGAAATTGGCTTATGCACGCTCTGGTAATTCTCATAGCGTGTTTACGTAAATTGATATTGCGCAATCCCGCACAAATGACGCAAGTGTTGATAAGAAGAATCTCTGGCGCAAGTATAATTAACAAATGTCCCTTTTTCTCCTTAGCTTGCTGGTCATGATCCCTTCGGCGCTCGCCATTTTTCCGCAGAGAAAGTAAGAGTTTAAATTAATTCTGAATACTTTTGAATAAAAGAATTAATTCTTTTTTAAATAAGGAATGTATTAAATAAAGACAGCAACATGTTTTTTCTATTAAGCTCGATGACACCGGAAATGTTAAAAATATGTCCGGAGGAGTACGAAATATTTCGAGAGAAAATGGGTCAGCGCAAACATCCGGATAAAGTTTATTATAACAAGGGATTGTAGTCAGTATAAATAAAAATAAATTTATATTCTGTTTCGTATTGTACAAATATAAAACGTATTATTAGACTTTCCATTCGATCTGTGAAGTTTTTGAATTCCTGAAATATGAAATTATATAGGAATTATTAAAGCTACATAGAAAATGATAATATTCAGTTATCGAACAAAATTTATTGATGCAATCGTGATGTTACTATATCTATCATTAATTATATATGTAGCAAAGAGTTTCTTATTGTAATTATATGTGGCAGCATTTTTACCTTTGACAGGCATCACAAAATTCAATAATATTAATAACATTAAGTAATTACAGTGCTTAAGTAAATATTGCATTTAAAACATGCGAAACTTATAAATTAATGTTAAAACGCCTGACACAGGAACAATGAAGCACTTATTTATATAAATAAAATTATTGCTACAATTTGTAATTATGCGTCAGTAAAACACCAATTTATATTGTCAACGTTTCATCCTTTACTAATCTATTGTTTCTATTGCATTGTGGCTAAAGACACTTCTCTCTTATTGTAAGATACTTTAGCATGTGCCGACGTAATTTTATTTTGTCACCCTGCGGATATTACGTCTTGTGTCTAAATCCTAATTTAAAATTGACTAAACGTTAATTAAAATATTATTAATATACGACATTACCTCAAATCATAAGAAAGAGCTGTGCGTAAATTTTTAACAACAAATTAAAAAAATTCCTATTATAATAATTGACTCTAACTTAATAAGTTATATTAATATTAATTTCGAGTTTGTTTCTGATCCAGCAGAAGAGTTTACCATCACGGTGTCACTTGAAACAACGATATTTTTATAAAGGATGGAATAATAACACTTATTTACGTTTTTAATTTCATAGAACTAGAACTTTTCTCATAACATTATAACCCCTTGTTAAAATATAAATACGTCGGCAGTTTGCCTTCGCAATTCTTTTGTAGTAACTCGTAGTTTTCCGGCTCCCAGCGCTGCAAGGTAGTCGTTTTGAAGGAGCTACAAAACGCATCGCATAATAAATTAAAAATAAAATATAGAAAGGAGAGTTTTCAAATGTAGAATATAGAAAGCATTATTTACCACATTTGTGGAAATAGCGCACACGCCGTCGGCACCATAAACGTCAGCCTGTTTGACACAAAATTCACACAATAATTAATGTAACAATTTAACGGCAATGATAAGACAGGCAAAAATAAAATAAAAAAGGGTGTGATACTCACGAAATTCCACACATCATAATTTGTATCGGCGCGTGCAGTGGTTTGATTCTCTGCATCCACGCGTATTTCTCCAATCTTTCCATTATGGGCGGTAGGATAACTGCGGAAATTAATTAGCGTTTTAATTAACTAGATGTAATGCTGCAAATAAATTCGTAGAAAATTTTAATAAGTAATTTAAATTGAGATGTTTAATCAATTTTTCAATACATACGCATGCCGGGTGCGCACATGACGATTCTCGAAATGACGACTTGACTGATGCCTTTCACAGCCGCGAGCTGAAAACATTTAACAACGGTTACCAAAAAAATTCCAATATGTTTAGCGTGAAATTTAATAAGATTTACAACGACACCGTACTCCAAAATTTTAATATTATCTCATCTTGCAAATTTAATTCGATAAGATATATAAATTAATCTTTATGTGCGTGTAAAATTGAGCAAATTTATTCGCCAGCTATAGATAATGTATACCTTCGATTTTGTAAGTTTCCTGCCGTCCTCGTCAACGAGATCCACGCCGTTTACAATTTCATTCTGTCTCATTAGAGGGATATTAGCGCAATTAGCGGCCGCCACTGCGGCGAACGGAACGTACCTCTGAAATAAGTTTTTTATCTCTTGTATTCAGTAATCTAGGCTTCCAACAATTTGAGACGAGTCTCGGATAATTTATTTTAAATTATATATAGGGTGCTCCAAAAATAAAAGCTCTAATATAATCAATCTTCTTACAAATTAAAATAAACTACTTCAATTTCGTCAAAATAGAAGGTTCGTTAGTTATTGATGTAACTTCTGGGACACTCTGCGTGGTTTCTAAATTGCTCTTGCAAAACTTACAGCCATTAAAGGGCTCGCGCGTTTCTCCCAATACGATTTGCATCCTATCGCAGTTATCATCGCCGCGACAGTAGCACTAACGTAAGCTACACCTAGCTGATTGGTCGTTACAGGACTGTTAGCATTCCTGTTGGTGTAATTGACGAGCGCGTTGAAAGACTGGTTGACCCATTGCCAAAAAACTACCGCTTGAGTCGTCCTAGATCGAATCAACATAGTTAGTACATAGTGTGTTAGAAAAGAAGCAATAATTCTATATAGATCACGCGATAAGTTCTTGAAACGAAGAATGAAATCATAGGAGCTCGATTAACAAAAACATCCATATTTTATTAAAATTTTATTAAAATAATTAATAAAATTTTATTAAAATTTAAATAAATAAAATCAATATTTTTTTTACTTGGTTGCCGAAACGTTTCTGGTTTCTTCAAAATGTCGATATGATCAAACGAAAGAATCTCCAATGACCGTGGCACGAAAAAGAGATCGAATTTCCAATGAAAAATTGAGTTCTGCAGAATACCTGTAAAATTGAAGCATAGCGCCGGTAATGGCCATTCCTCCCGGCACCTGGAAGGACATTCTGCCGAAGACATTCTGCAGATCGCCGGTGTCGGGATGAAAGGCGGATTCGTACAGCTTCCTCGCATAGATGATTTGCTCTCTGGTAGTATCGGCTGGCTCTTTGCCAATTCTATAATGTACAAGAGGCGAAGATTTTCAAGCGATTCGAGAATACAAAGTCGAATGCATACAACGTCCCATTGGCCGCATTATTATTCCCAATAACAAATTTTAATTCAAAGGAAACTTAGGTTGAACACAAATGTATTGACATTTCCAACTGATTCAAGAATTGATAAATATATATTAAATATATATAACCGACAGAAATATTCGATATTATTGACAGTGCTAAAAGTTTTCGAACTGACCAATACTCGTCTCGAATCTACTATAAAATAAAAAAGAAATTTCACAAAATTGCGTGACGTATATTTCCTATCACCTGTACTGCTCGCACAACTTCTTAGCAGCTAACAGCTCCGATTCTGATTTGACGCAGGTGCGGAAGTCGGTCATCCACGCGAAGTATTTCCACCGTCCCACGAAGGTGTTTTGATCCCACAAGGGTTTGTCCAGGTCCATTCTCTCATTCGCCATCGTGTCCAATTAAGAGATATCTCCAGCACAAATGTCTAATCAGAAATATAATTCGTGAAGCGGAAGAGATAAGTTATAATTTTACAAAATCGACTTTTTGTAAATTGGAAAATCTTAATTTCCTTTCTTTTTAATATATGTTTTCGATGTATTTACTGTTATTTATAAATTGGAAAACTTTCGCTCGGTTGATACGCGCGATAAAAAGCATATACAGAGTGTCTCAAAGTGCTAGAGTAACATTCTAAGACAAGATATACTGCAAGTTTTATACAAATGGATCTTACGTCGAATGCTGGCCGTTCTGCGCGATTATATGTTTCGCACATAAGCCATGCTTCCTTTCGTAATGTAACAAGAAGTCCGACAAAATGAGGATATATTTATAGTTTCAGTGCGCGAGCTCTCTCACTCTCTCTCTCTCTAGCTCTCTGTGCATGAAAATAGTGCGCTGCGGTCGAGCATTTTTAATATACACGCAGCAATTTTCGCTCCTTGTCATCGAGATGTTACGTAAAATTTTTCCACGAGCAGAATGAGCATAATAAATAATACACACACATATAATAATTATAGAGCAAAAGATAAAGGTCAGTATTTATTGTCGATGCAGATATTCTTCAAAGTAAATCTAGCAAAGAACGAACGATATTAATGTTGCAATCTTTTACTATTCATACAATTTTTGAGTCGATTTGAAGTCATAATTCTTGTATTTCGTTTCTTTTTTATATTCTTTTTCGTCAACAAACTTTTATCTAAAACCTTGAAATTTTGTTTCGTCGCCAAACTTTATTTAAAACTTTATCTAAAACTTTGAAATTTTTCCATTCAGAAATATCTAGTTTTGTGTACAGAGAAATACAAATCTATCAATTATATTTTCTCGAATTTATTTCTATATGCATTAAAAAATTAATAAATCTCCTACAGATAAGTTTTGATAACAGATCCTTTTGTTTTGGCATATTATGTCAAATGTGCCTTCCATGTATTGGAATAAAACGGGGATCAAATTTTAATATTCTTCTTCATAACAATCCTCTTTGATTTGCGAGCAACAGAAATGCAAGTGTAAAATTTTGAAAACTTTTTCGCGAACGTTCGGTTATCAGTGACGAGATATCGGCTTTGATTTTTAGATTACCTACTGCAAATGATAATGATAATGATTACTCGCATGCAATTTAAAAAGCGTTACAGATTAGGACGATTTATTGTATGATATAAGAAAACTTTAGATTAAGACGTCTATAATATTCTATCGATATCAAAACGACCTCATGATCGAAATTTCAACTGCAAACAAATCTGATAAGCGATCATATCTCACAACAAATAAAATAAAGGGACGGTCCGCGAAAGTCGGAATAACGCTAAATCGTTTGTTGCAATCTCATAGTGGAATTGATAGATAAGCGTCATTGCGCATTAATCGGTGTTGTGTCATTCGTACATATATACGTCGCCGCTAATCATTCGAATGCAAGCCGTAATTGCGCAAGAACGTATTACACGTTTCAAGAGCCCCCCAGCACATTTTTCAAATCATCAAGTAAAAACATAGAGCAATAAGGACAAAATGTAATAATTAATTAATAATAAAACCTGCTTCTCTGTTCATATTGCTGTTAACAAATTTAATTCAATCGAATAAATCTTAATTTGGTTTAGTCGACGTATAAATTATTAACTTTCTTATTGCAATTAAAAAGTTTTAATTTATAGATCTCTCTCTCCTCTTTTTTTACTTTCAATTCTTTTTATTATCCTTTTTCTTACTGGAATACCAGCCAGTACGATTTGTAACGTGATTTTTGTCATCTTTTCGTTATTTAGTTAATGTGAACGATCCTAAATTATTTGCAGCTGCGAGAACGTGTGAACATGGCTTAACAAGCGTCACCACATTACACTTTTCGCATTATCAATACATTCCTCTCGTGCATCACTTCATCTCTTCCAGCACTCGAGTCACATCCTGTATCGACTCATCTCCGCGCTTTCAGAAAAGTCGCGGTCGAAGCGGCGCGGCGACCCAGTTTTCGGTAGGGCGCACCGGCATAATCACAGTGGTCGAACCAAATGACCACTTGTGTTACCATATAGCGCTTTTTACATCAAATGTCAACAACGTAGACGCATGGAGCAGGAGAATTACGGCCGCTATCGGGCCGCAAATTGGACCCGGTAGCGAATAATCCTGCCCTCCGCTGCACTCGCGTCGCCTTGAAGCGCTTATGCAACGTTTTATTAAAGCATAAATCCTAGCCACTCACCCTACCCGTGAAACGCACGCTGCACGCTGGAGTTGCGCTCGGCCGTTCCCGGCCGTTCTGTCTCAATGTCGTAGGTAAGTGCCGAGCCGAGACGTGTGCGACGGGCGCCCGGCGCCGAATCCAAAAGGAGCGATACCGCGTGCGATGCGAGATGGTCGTACAACAAGAGCCCTTACTACGCTACTGACACCGGCGAACGCGCCCTTCAATGGGAGAGAACTTGCGCTAAGCCGCGTTCATACCGTTTACAACATTGTGTACAACACAGTGTCAATAGAATATATCTAATCTCACATCGTTGTCCATTAATTATTTTGATTAGAATCCAAGACTTTACAAAATCAGAGATTCATATTAAATAAAAAGATGTACATATATAACGTGGAGATAAAACTACGCTATATCAGTTTTATCATATCAATCTGCGCAAATTTGCTTCTCTGAAAATCTGACGTCGGTTGGTAGCATTGTTCATCAGTCATAAAACGAGAGTGTGGTGTGGTGTGGCTCCAGGCTCCAGGGCCCCTTGAAGCGCCTTTTATACAGACCTGGCCTGGCGGGCCGCCTCCAGCGCGCGCAGGCGCACCGGGGGCGGCGGAGCAGCCAGCTGTGTGGGCTGCTAGGCAAACGTCCCCTCTACTTGCCAGCCCACACTCCATCCCCCACCTGTCCCCTGGCCATAAAGCTTCACCGCCCGCCTCACGCGGTCTTCGCACACAGCCGCAGCCGTCGTTCCTCACGTCATCCGGTTCAGACAGACTGCGAGCGAGCGAGCGAGCGAGAGAGAAAGAGAAAGGGGAGGGAGACAGGGAGAGAGAGAGAGAGAAAGAAACAAGGGGCGGTGCGTCGCGGCGCGGAGCGGCGCGCGGCGCACGAGACGACGACGACGACGACACGAGACGGGCCGCTCGCTCCTCTCGGTCGGCTCGGTCGTAGCGGAGCGAAGCGGAAAGCGCAAAGCCCACACCACACCACACACCACCAGGCTTACTCGCACGCTCGCTCGCAATAACTCTAAATTCGAGGCAAGATGGCGGCCGCGGCGGCGGAGGCCCCGTCCGCGCACCTCGCGCTCGCCACGGGCAACAAGATCCTCGTGACCGTCGAATCCGCGCTGCCCGACATCCTCGTGGTATCTTTCGTCCATGGCGCCAAGTGCTTCCAAGGTGCGCTCCTCGACGCCGCTAAGAGGTAAGATTTAAGGGAGAGAGAGACAGAGAGAGGGTGAGAGGGAAAGAGAAAGAGCGATATGAAAGGCCTCGTGCTGTGACTTGTTCTTTTTTTTTTTAATTTTTTCCCGTTTACCGAAAGCCTTTGTTCTGTCATCGAAACAATATTCAACCCCCGACCACCCTTCGGCTTTGAAAAAATCTTGAGAAAAGGGCGCCCTTATGCGGGCTCCGCCGCTGAAGCCAAAGGTTTCCGACGGAGCTGGTGGTCCCGAACAGAGCTTGGGATTAGCTGATTCATCGATCTGGCGATCCTCCGGTCCGTCGGGATCAGGTTTTGCTGGAAATTGATGAGGCTAGTGCTTATCACGCCAAATTTTAACGAATTAAATTCTCTCGCGAATCATTGATCTCTTAGAGGAGTTTTGCATTGTGTTTCCCGAGACCTGAGAACGAAGTGTTTTTTGGAAATCGGTCGGTTCCAAGGTACCTGAGTCACTATTTGTGAACGGAATGACGAACACATAATGGAATGTTCAATAGAAAAGTTGATGACTAAGTCCACTTATGGTTCGTCCACTTGAGATTTCTCGAGATGTTTGGCGATCCTGGAGAAATGTTCTACAAGTCATAAATTCAAAAAAACAAGCCCTCGGAGAGAGGGCTTCGATTTTTTTAAATCTTTTTATCGCTACACGCAAGTTCGTGGTTTGAGGCAAAGTGACAATTGCTTGTCAAACCGGATATTAATGACTAGGCTCTTTTGTGTCGTTCCGCGGCTTGTTATTTCCTGCACAGCTTTATGTAGGCGTCTCGATATTCCGGGATACCGAGAGCTCTAAAAACTCAAAATAAATCCTTGAACGCTAATCGATTCATATTCTTCAAAATCAAGCAAATATTTGTATTCGGGAAACAAATGTTACCCATATGTTGTTTTGCGGGTTTGATTCTTTCGATTTTGCACACGGAAAAAAGGATTAGCTACTATAGCAAATCTATTCGTAAAATGTGGGACAACTAATTTTTTTTTGCAGCGAGAGCTATTATTTAGCAATAGTTAGCAAAATCTAAAAGGTTCGGCAAAACTTTAACAAAAGGTGTTGCTATTATTGCAAAATTATAGCTCTCGCTGCAAAAAAAATGTTAGTTAGCTCATATTTTACGAATAAATTTGCTATAGTAGCTAATCCTTTTTTTCCGCGTACAACAATTCTGAGATTTTGGAGCACGGGACGCGAAAAATTTAAGAACGCCGAAGTATATTATAGATTGCACAGCTGAACAAATGATTTATGATGGTTTCTTATCTTCGAATTCATGAATTCGAGGAAATTAGGATTCTAGAATTGCCACGCAAGCCAAAAGATTAAGGTACAGACAAATAAAGATCGGGACAAAAAGCAGAATGATCTATGGATCGATGTAAACGATGATTGATGTCGCATTTCTAGACGAAGTCCGGTTGGTTACCGCGGTTATAACTTGCAAATCTTCAGACGTATCGTCGAGATTCAAGGATGTGTCATGTCCAACTTAAAAATTCAGGTACCTGGAACAAAGCCAATCGTCCAAATGTCTGACAGCGTCAGGATCTCAAGGAGTCGTTATATAATCGATCTAAAATTGGGCGGTTACACAAAAGTGCCGTCGACTTTCTCGTGTAGCATTCTCGGAATTCAAGGATCTCTCTTTCGAGCCTAACTGCATATTTCATTCATGAAACGGAAGTATATAAATTGTGAATCGGGAAGTAGATTCTGTCTCTTTTACAAGAATAAATAATGTATCTGTAAAAAAACTAGTGTAACAACTGTTTAAAAAATTAAATTTTGAATGAAACGTCGATTTAATATCTAGAAATAATCAGACTGTTGATGTAAAAGATGTATTAATTATCTTTAAAACTTGAGGAGGTTTTTTCAAGAAAAAAAAAGTTTTTCTCCAACTCTCACTTCGTTTCTGGAGTTAACGCCTCATTATCGTCCCCTATCACTTTTAACTTTCTAATTGTCGTAGTTGTCCAAGCTGAAATTTGGATCGGAAGGTTTAAAGCTTTGTGATTCAGTTTTAAAGTATCGTAGGGAATGATATTCAGAGATATTTTAATTATCACGATCCACGGGATTAAGTTGTCGCAGAAGTTGGGAGGCGCCGTCCGACGGCGCGCCGCGCGACGCCCGTCGGCTTCCACGATAGCGCACGAACTTAACGCACGAAACTTGGCACGAAGTATCTCATTTCCTCCGAGACGTAAATAGGTCCAAGTGCCGAAAGCTCCGATAATTTTGATAACTTATCTGTTATTTAATAGGAAGTGTGTATTACGAGCGCGTATACGTGTTCTCCTCCCGGCGGCGCCAGCTGCGATGGGCGTGGAAGTCCCGCGAGTTTCGTCAAATTTCACATGACTCGGCTGTCGCAAAGTCGTCATGAGATATTACAAATGAGACGTTACATCCTCCGCCTATTTTTTTTTCCTCCACTTACATACACGTGTAAATGCGTAATACCCGGTGTCCCGCGAGTCGCACGCTTTCCCTCGATGGCGGATTCCCAACTTGGGAAATTATCTTTTCGGCGATAATTTAACGGGAGAGAGTAAATTATTGGAATTTCCTTCGCGCGACAGTGTCAGAATCAGATTGCTGGTCAAATCGTCCTTTTTTTTTTAAATCGAATGTGAGGTTCATCTGCAATTAACGGGCGAGAGATTGACAGTGGCGAGTGACGGGTAGTGGAGTTTTCCCTTCAATAAAATTTCTGTTAAGGCAATAAGCGGACTTCGAATAATCGAGCAATACGTTGATATAAACGTAACGGAAGTTTCGTGTCACCCGGTATATGCTAAAAAGACGTGGCTGTGGTGACTCATGGTCTCGCATAGTAAACGCCACCTTCGTAATACAGTCGTTGCCGACTTCTTTGATACGAGCAGTCATTTCGATTATTGGGAAATCAACTAAGTAGTCGTTATAGTTATATTAGTTGACCACTGTTGTGGCAGACACACGAGTTAATCTACAAACTTGTGAAGGGCGAGCTCTATGTATAGCCATCAGGCCAATAACGCGTGGGAAAGGCTACTTAAACTGAATTTACTCAAATATTTATAACCACCGAGTTCATCGAATAAGATTAATCAACTTAATGAATTCCATTATTGAAGTTTTACCATGAAGCCGTTGTGGTTTATCGTATATACTCGATTATATGTTATTGCGACATGAATTGAATTTTATTATTGAATTAACGGAATTCGCTGGGTGTCACAATAATGGATATATTAAAAACCGATTCCGTCGAAGGCTATTATTTGGCGGGGCAAACTCATTTTCGGTCAACGCCGTGCAATTATCCAATTTGTTCGATTCTGTCGCGGAATAGGGGGTGCAATTTCGATGACTTTCGAAATCGCGCTGGTACCGATCTCGATCGATGTCAAATTGCCCCGGACCTTGCCGTCCGCGAGCGTTACGCTCCCGTTTATCCGAATGGCAATTTTGCTCGTGCAATCGCTACTTTTGTCCGCTGAAGCACAGTTGTCTTTTTTCTCAGCGCATTTTTCTCAGAGGCCAGCCGGGGTTAGCCGCCCCGTGAGTCCAGAGCCAGGCTCGTCGCTGTGGCCGAACAGCTGTTGCCCGTTTTCTTACCCCGCGTCCTAGGTTTTCTTCTTGTCCAAGCCGGGGCGGCCAATGGCCGCTCCGTGTCGCAATTGCCACACAACCATTGCCCGGCAGGGCTGTAAGCGGGGTCAGAAGGGTCGTTTAGGGTCTGGTGATTAGCGATACGTCTTAATTAATTATTTGGGATTTGGGTATCCAATATTAACTGTTCTTATTGCGTCGTTCGTTTGCTTTCCTTTCGTTAACTTTTGTATCTTTATTGCAATGATAAACGACACCGCTTTAGGCCCGATTGATAATATTTGATATAACAATACTGATATTTTTTAGTGTGTTTTTTATTTATTGGCGAATTTTTTTCACGCCAGTTGTGTTGCAATGTGTGTGGCAATTTTGTAAAATCTCGAGCTAGGCTAGATAAGGAAAGATAAGTGATCCAGAGACGGTATAGTTCCCGTTTACGGCCCTGAATGCTAGTCGGGGCCACCGACCAACCGGGCCTGGCTTGTGTCACGTTGTGCACGACGGTATGGTGCGACAGAGGTTCCCATACTTTTCCGCTGTGCACACTATAATAATTTGATATAAAATTTTCTTAATTCATTCTTGAAAAATTGGCGATGTTTTAAAGAATTTTGGGAAATACGATGAGATATTTATATGCAGCGAAAAATCAAGTTTCCTTAACAATGGTTTACGTTCAAAGAGATTAAATCCGCCTTTTTCCCTTTCTAAAAAGATTGGTATCAAGATTAGCGTCAAAGAATTCCTTGAAACATTCTCGGGCGATTGTGGAACTCATGATATTTATATATCAATTGCCATGAGAGTTATTAACTTATTTTAATAAAATATTGCTAAATTTTTTCGTTAATTAATTTCAAACAGACTTTATTTTAGCAGAATTTAGGTTCGAACGAACTGTGTGCTCTATTCAATCCGCATTTAGGAAAGATCGAGTGCAAATCGATGACTAAATTCGTAGACGACTGAATCCAAGGACATGAATTTATTAGACTGGGGAATGGTATTTATCGATCTGCTCGACATCGAGCCAAAATACGTTCCAGCTGTGCGGGCTCGCGTACGATCCAAGGTTGAGAACCTTCAATATAGTGGTCTCGTGTTCGTCAGGAACAAAGGGAATATCGTCGACGTCTCTGAGAACGCCACCATTTGCGGGTCGAAACTGCGGATGTGTGCGTGGACACAAAGCAGAGAAACAGCCACGTATACCAACGTCGTAGTCCACGTTAACCGTCTGCTTTATTAACTTAAGAAATGAGCCAGTTGTTGTTACAGTTGTTTTTAACGAGATATAATTGCGAGAACGTCGGGAAAAAACAAATTAGAATTCTAATTGCGAGGGTCGAAGATTAACAGAAATTCGATCGGTGTTATCGAATAGAAACTTGTTGATTGATCAAAGTTCAGTTAAAAATGCAAATTGAGGCAAGCTCAGAGATTAGATAAGCGCGCGCACATTACAGATTTTAGAATACAAGAACGAGGAAAAAATTTGAATAATTCTAGGACTAACGAATTTACGGCTTGCGGGAAATCTTCGTGTTGCAAAATTACAAATTGGATAAGCGGTGATAGCGGGCAGGGACTCCCTCCCTCCAATTTATCAGGTTCCATCATAATCATTTTCACGTCGTGGCGAATATGCTGATTCCCGATATTCCCTCCCGGCCATTTTTCTTCCCTCGGCGCGGGCTGACTCGGAATTTCGAGGGTCTGCCTCGTATCAGGACCCAGAAAATATTAATGGATATACTGTCAGAGGCTGTCGCTCATTGTACGCGCCTCTCTCGAATCAATACCATGACATGGCCGCGTTGTCGGTGCACGGGAAGCCGACGAAGCATACAGCCGAAAGCGGTTGCCCAATCTTCTGCCTGGCCATTCTCATTTCGCGTCGGTTTCTATTGAGAGCTTTGGCGCAACGACGGTCTAGCTCACGCTTAATTGTCAATGCACATAGGCAAGTTAATCTCAAAGTTGCGAGAGAATCTAGAGAACTCACAATCAGTAAAAAAATTCAAGTCTTAAAAATGGAGAGAAACCATTTGTCATTTCAACCATTTTCGGTGGTAGAAGTCCGTATGTCGGTCGGAAGCCTTTCTCTTAGTCGAAAGGAGCAAATCCAAAATACTCCTCGAAGCGTAGAATTCAGAGGAGAATCGAGATAATTAGCGTTGAGTAGAGTATCTCTCATAAAGGAACGCAAGAAACCTCTTCAATTTTCTCGCAGTGTTTATTGATTCGCGTTTATGTAAGGTGAACGAACGAATCTCCCTCGGCTATCGCTACGTGCGAAAATAGGAAACTAATCAAGTAGTCAAGCAGTCTTGAGAAATCCCTAAGGTATAGCGGCGCGTTGTAATGTTGAGTCTTCAACAGAAACAGACAATATGGTTCCGAAACGACGGAAATATTGATAAGGCGTCATTATCTCTTCGAATAGTTTAGATATCGATTTAAACTTCACAAGACGCGCTATGGATTATGTTTCTGTAGGGGCCTTCCCTGCGGTGTTCAGCCGCCGGAGCCGGTGCCGGACCCCGATGGCGACAAACTGGCGACGATCGCGGCGCGTTTCAGCTATTTCCAAGAGAAGAGAAACGCGTCTTCGTCATCGGCGGCCGCCGTCGTTGCCAAGGTCGATCTCCGCAGGAGCATCAATCCGCCCGCTAGATACAAGAACGCGAGGCCTACGGTGAGACTGAGACCCCGCCAGGTGCTTTGCAGCAAGTGCCGGTCGATCTGCAACGAGAACAGCGAGAATGTCGACGTCAGCAGGAAGCGAAAGCACGAGGACGCGCAGCAGCAACAGCAATCGCAGCAGGTACCGTGAATGTTGCTTAGGATCGTATATATATATATAGGATGTCTCATTTATATGTAAGGCTGAAACGTTCCTTTGTACGGAATTTTCAAAAAATTCGCAAAGACGGAAATTGCATTATTATAATAATCTACAAATTTTAAAATACTTGAAATCAGGGAAATTCAGAAGTCATATTTAAAAACTCGTAACTGTCGGTATTATCGAAAATATGATAACGAGGATCATATCAGTCCTCAGAGTTTTTAGCTCTGAGTTTAAAGCTCCGATAAGCGACCACCTTTTTCGGTAACGTTAATCTCATCGGGCTTCTAGAGGCTGCATCGATGTCGTTGCGCGTTCAATAGATGTTTGATCCGAATTGTTGCATGGAAGTAAACTATTTTCTTTGCTGATTCTACCAGCTGATCCCAGGGTCCACGAGAAGAAGCGACCGACGTTGCGGTCAGCAACCGCAGAAGACTCAGCGAACACTGCTGTCGGAATGCCGGGCGGAAAGCACGGTCTCCAATCAAGCGACGACGAAGACAAGTTCGAGTACCGACTCATCGAAGCTGGGAGCGTCGCTGATCCCAAAACTGTCGAGATTGCAGCCCAACGAGATCAGCAACGCGACCCAGGGGTCCGGTCAATTATCTGGTACGTTTTCACGTGTACACTTTCGATGGAGTGACCATTAACGTTAACTTCTACAATTACGGAGATTTTAAGAATATCCAACTTAAAAAAATTATAGATATATGTATAGCGATTTCGTGCGAATTATTAGCTGTGTGAGAAAAAGTAAACAACTCCGAATTTACTTTCCTTCAGCAAACAGTTTGCTTTTGCGATGTATTTATTTTCCTAATGATATAATAACATCAGTTAACTACATGTTTCATACGTAGAAACCTAGAGAGCATATATCATACCAATTATGCACAGCAGTTGAAATTAAAACCAGTTACATGAATGGAAACAAAGTTCAAATCTTGAGAATTAAACATATAACTTGAGATTAATAGATTATATAGGACTAAATTTTTATCTTATTGCTTCATGTATATAAATATAAATAATTTAGCAAAAAAATTATCTATATATATAATTTATCTAGAGTTTTTAAAATCTCCGTTGCATTTTATTTTGTGTTTCAATTTATCTAACTGTGTCTGTTTAAAATAATTCGAGGAGATACGTATCTCCAGGTGTTTGCGAAAATAATAAGTATATGAAAATTAGGAAATATTTTTCGGATTATTGAATTTCTAGACGAATTAAGGAAGTTTAATTGAAGATATGATTTTGATCTGATTTTGATCGTACTGAAGACTGGACAATTGTTTCAGACAAAGTAAAGGTCGCAGCAAGCGCACAATCTTCACATTGGCCTGTTAGAAGCGAAGAGGAGGCGTCGTCCTTGAACATGCTGGCGTCGTCGCAGGAACGGGTGGAGTCCACCGCCGACTGTGACAATAATCCATCGATGGCTTATTGTGCCACGCCAAGAAGACTCAGCAGTTCGTCGGTGGAGAGCGCGAAGGTTCCCGAAGAGGAGGACAAGAAGACCTTCGCGGCCGCGGATTCGACGATGAGACTGAGAACCGGCAGAGTGCCGAGAAAGAAGCGCTCGGTGGGCTCGATGGAGGATCTCTGGGACGAATCGGTGTTCGAAGATCCTACGAGAACTGCCAGAACCACGCCGGTGATTAAGATCTCGTTTGGTGCGCAGGGCGAAGGGACTGTTCTCAAGATACCCGCGAAACCTCAGGATCCTGACGCGTACGAGCAAGAGACGGATGACGCCGATGACGCTCAGCAAGAGAGAGATCCTCTGGAGCTGCCCAGATCCTTCGGCGACAATTACGAGGGCGAGGAGGACGGGCAGGAACAGGTAGATCCTCAGAAGCAGGGCGGCGTGGTGAAAGACGCCAGTGCAAAGGCGGCAAAACGGGCTCTAAAAAAGGCCAAGAAAGAGGCTAGGAGAAAGATGCTGGGCGGAGTATCACCAGCGAGATCTCCTTGCAACGGATCGCCGAGGTAAGATTACAACAAGTGAAAAATTATATAAATCCAAGCAATCCGTAATTGGCATAGTTTTGAATTTTATGGTATTTTTTATCTTTTATTTTCTTACAATATATATGTATATAGTGTATGTATACATATAAAATAAATTATATAAAAATACATGATACAATTGTATGATTATACAATATAAAGAAGTATTACAACTTTTAATTAATTTATAAAATGTATTTTGCTGCATATTAAAAATTTTTATTTAAGAAGCCATATTTTTTCAAGAATTTACCGATTTATCGCTATTTCAATTTATCTAGATACAACCCCACGTATGATCCACTCTCATATCACCGCCGGAAACACAAGGTAAAGCATAAAAAGAAGCACAAGGAGGGCAGGAAGCACAAGAATCAGCAACAGCAGCAACAACCGGATCAGCCACAGTCTGAACAATCCTGTTTGGATTCCACGGGACAACCGCAGCAGCAGCAACAGCAGCAGGAACAACAGCAGCAGGAGGAGGAGCAGCATCAACAGAATTGGAATGTCTTACCGGGCGGCGGTGAGTCCTACAGAGCTATCAAGGAGCAGTGCCTGAAACAGAAGTTGTCGATATCCCTCAAGAGGTTGAACACGAATGCGTACGCGCGTTGTGATTATCCTGTGAGTAACGCGTCCTCCGGTTGTAAGAGTTCGGGCGGTAGCAGCGACGAGTTGAGCGAACATGAGCCGGAAGTAGAGACCGCGCCAGATTTTCCACCCCATCAGTCGCACCCACTGGTCATGCGTCTAGCTGCCACCCCCGTGGCGCACTGTCTTACCACCAACGGTAAGCGGATGGACGTGGGCGACGTCGTATGGGGCAAAATCCATGGCTTTCCCTGGTGGCCTGGCAAGGTACGCTTAAGATGTTTCAAAAAAGCTAATTGTACGGTTATCTTTCAATAATGATGAATAATTAATGTAGAATAAGTTACAACAATCATCGTTAACTTTTAGTATCCATTGCTATCATTGAATTTTATTATGTGCAGGTCTTAAGTATCACGGTATCTTGCAAGGAAGACGGTACCTCGTCGGGTCCTCAAGCTCACGTAGCTTGGTACGGATCGTCAACAAGTTCACTGATGTCCTGTGATCAATTAAGTCCCTTTCTGGAAACCTTTAAGGTGTGCACATTCAAATAATATAATAATAAATAATAATAATAATAAACAGTAAATAACGGATTGAGTAATTAAAACCGTTTCAAAAGATAAAATGTACTAACGTAATGACTTTTGAAAATTTGTCGAATAATTATGAATCTGATTTCAGACGCGATATAACAAGAAAAAGCGCGGCCCGTACAAGGAGGCGATACGGCAGGCCCAAAACGAGGCTCGAAGTCAAAGTACGCCTAACTCAACTAGCAGCGTGTTGAACGTCTGCGGTTCGCCCCGCGAAGTCAACGTCCTTTCCTAAGGAAAGTTCTCCGGCAACCATTCCTTACTAACGAGCATCCGTCAGCGTGATAATTGAAGCGTTCGCGGCAAGAGAGAGAGAGAGAGAGAGAGCCGATCGGTAATTAATAACACCTTCAAACTTGTTCAACATTTCTCATCGACTTCTCCTAAAACGTTTTCTTCACGTTTTCTACAGTCGCAACAAGTTTAAGTGGATCTTAAAAGATTTTGAGACCTTTTAATTGCTTTTCTTTGGATCTTAACTCCGCGATCGTTTCAAACTTGAAGTAGATTTCGTATCTTTGGATTTTCCAGTACTGATTTCGTACGCTTCTTTATCATGATAATTATTGCTGCTAATCCCGCTAATGACTGAAGGCCGAAGATAACTCTTACGTCATGTGAGCATGTTAACACTGACTTTTTGCGAGCGCTTGGATTAACGACGGATCGGAATTATGTAATATGTGAAATTTTGTACATACTCATTAGCGCTAATGAAATAGTTACTGATCGATGTTTTGTCAGCCATCTGTCTCGCTATCAATCGCTTAGAGCCAGTCGCGCCGGCATAAATTAACTAACCGACATCTGTACACTGATATTTTTTCTACAGTTCTAAAATTGCTAAAAAAAATTACAACTTGTACCAATGCTAAAATAATTTTTTTTTTAATTTTTTATTGATATATACAATTAGTAGTTGAATTTTGAGATATATATTATCTCCGAAGCTCTAAGATTGAAAAACTGATAAAAAATTGATAGGATTGAAACATCCTCGCATTTTAATGATGTAACGGTGCTTGAATTATAGTGTTATAAGATCCTAGGTGAATTATATAATGCGTTGTTCAGTCATGAAACATTTCAACTTTGCAAAATCGTGTTTGTAAAGTGTAAATTTTCGTTTTTCTTTGACAAAAGCAGTCAATATCTGCGGGGACTGACTTCCGATGAAAATTGAATCGCGAACGTTTACTGCTATCGTTACTGGCTTTTCTGTCCTCGGCTTACCAAGCGGACAGTTGCGCGCAAAAATCTTAGTCTAGGTTTTTTTATCACAAGTACTCACTGTGAGAGTTCAGTCTTTCATTGATTAATCTCTCAAACATTCGGGCGGCGTGACTCGCAATTGCCCAAAATTAATAATTTATATATATCGCGTAACTATCTCAGACTGCACATTACCGTTTATTATGTGTACATAATGACATACGTTTATCATATGCGGTATATTTTTCAGATTTGATATGTACATAAAAATCAAGAATATGTATTTATATAATACATATATATACATATATCTTCTAATATCTATAGCGTGTTTTAGTTTTTTTTCTGAGACAGGGAAAGCAGCGATTCGTATTTGAGGGATTAAGTGTATGAAAATTATTGGTAATAGAGTTATCAATTATTCCGACGGCCGCCATAGTGATTCAAGTTGCAGATCTAGCTAAACAAAAGCGCTTTGTTTGCGTGTGCTTAGAACTATATATTTAAATGTAAATTTTCCTTCTCCGATAAAGACAGCCAATGTTTACGCTTTGTGCCAACACTGCCGTGTAATTAAACACTCGATTGTTTGATGTTCGAGCAACGGTAATTGTAAAGCGAGTACTTAAGAAATCCTGATTATTGTTACATCGATGTTGTGCCACTGCCTCGACACGATTTTCTTCCACGAAAATATTTGACTAAATATTACAAATTGTATTAATAGAACATTAATAATTTTTTAATAATTGAAACGTGGAAAAGGCGTTTGTTTTTACAAAACAATTCTTGCAAATGAGTTTTGTAAAAATATAAGGCATATAAAGAGTCCTGTAAAATCGGCTGCGACAGCCTTCTTGTTTAATTTTTAATTTAATAACTGAAAGCGGGTGATGTTTCCCGCGATTTGTCGTCTATAAATAGGTGCGAAAAAAGAATTGTGCGTATATGAGAAAGAAGCGGAATGAGAGAGAGAGAGAGAGAGAGCTTGAAAAAAGAAAAGAATGCGAAGATAAGGTGTTTTAAGTAACTGTGATTTTTTTTGCAAATGTTTTATATATATTATATATATGTATGTTATATACATAAATATGAATTAATTTCTACACATAATATAAACGATGTTTCGATGTCGCTGTGTTTATACGGACTAGGCTAACATATCGTTAACGAAAATATGATGACGATTATGATTATTATTATTATTATGGGCGATTATTATTATGATTATTATTCCTTATTATTGTTATGGAGCTCGAGTGTTGCTGATTGCTTGCTGTAAGTATACGAGGATGGACCGTATCGTCTATTGGCGCATTTTTACCGGTTTTTTAAACAAATAGAAACGGAAATGTTAGTTCGTTGCGAAGAAGAAATTTTGTGCATTTCTTATTTTCTTACGGAAAGAAATATTTTCTTCGTTTATAGTAAGCTTTTGTTATTCGTACTTATGAGGCGCCGTGTCACTTAGCTTCGGCCGTTTTTGTTATTTAATTTTTCTTTCTCTTTTTCTTTCGTAACGTTTTGTGTTAAATAAATATTTATGCGCGGCAGAAGAGGCACTCGTACGCCATTGCTTCGCCATAAATCGCATTTTCTCCAGATATATATGGACTAATGAAAAATATAGTTTATTGTGTATTATTAGGAAACACATATGATATATTCGCGATAATGTATAGTAATAAAAAAAAATTTATTTAGATCTTTTATATTTCAAATGTAACAAACGAATATTTTATAGCTAAACTTTCTCGAGAAACTTATTTATTACTTAGTGAGGGATACTTGAGAGAGCCTCAACGACGGAGAAATCTGGAGAAGTAATACTTACGGCGAATTAATTCCGCTGTACGAATGCTATTTTTACGCAATTTACGCATAAACGTGCGCTGATTTAGGAATCACAATTAAACATTAATTTACGAGATATTAATGTTGCAATTTGGCGAAATTTTCAGGTAGGCAAATGATTTTAATAAATCGGCATATCTACCTCAAGCTTTGTTTTTATCTTCCCTACAATTCGAACACAATCCAATTAACATCCTATAAGTATGCAGACTCGAGATTCTGAGTTGGAGACCTCTTCTACATAATCATCTTAATGACTCGTTATTGCATGACTCGCAATTTATTGGATTATCCGTTAGATTAATTAGCTGAGCTACATCGATAACCACGATGATTGGAGAAGAGGGATGCGAGAGAGGATACCGTTTCCATAGACTACGTCCGATTTCCGGAACATCCCCCATTACAGTCATCCGAATTGAAAATCGGGCTCGGTCGGAGGGGGATGCTGGCCCGTGACGAATGCGCGCACGCGCGCGCGTATCGCTGATAAGCCGGCTTCCTTTGATTTTCCGGGGAGGACCGGCGTGCCGCCGGTCGGAACCCTCCTCTCGCGCGCGCCGCACCTCTGTGTCGTTGGCGTCGCGACGCACCGCGACGAAACGCGAGGGTCGCGAGGATGCATCGCCTGCAGGTGCGCGAGCTTTCAGGCAAACCGACAATGGACCTGTCGAAAAAGGTACATCGAGTTCCGCTTTCCTCCCTTGCGACGCGGCTACAAATGTCACAGTGCTTTGCTAGTGATCGCGGTGTTTACGGACGATTGCGATCGTCTCTTGGTGTCTCTGAAACGTGCAAATAATTCGCGAGAACCGTCAGGATTCTGGCCCCCGATAAGCGAAACGGTGAACGAACGGTGAGTCGCTCGGACGGAGTTTCAGTATCAGCTCTGATCAGATCGATCAGCCACGTGCAGTTTTAACAATCGTGCATTACTCGAGGGGTTTAGAATCATTATCCAGGGGTTTCTATAGAGAACACACATCATACACATTTAATGCTACTCTCGATTGATTATAGTTATACCCTTGAAACATTAGAGATGTCGTCTACATGAAACAAACAACGTTTAAATAAGTGATAAAACCTCGTTGCTGACTTTTATTGTTAGTTTCAAGGATATCTTACTTCAATAGAAACTTTGTGAGTTTAATTTGTGCGTGAAGCAATCCTTTATATATAATTTATAATACACTTTTTGAACTGAAAGTGATAATATTAACAGCGATAAAAAATTGTAATTATTGCGAGCCTCTTTAAATTTTCGGAGGTGAAAGTAACTCAAAATTTGTTAAAAGAAAGAGGCAGCGTGACTGACAAGACACCTTGTATATATACATCCATCACCGATTACGTTATAAGTTTACTACTTATTGGAGGAGGCGGAAGGAGGCGAATCGCAATTTTGTTCGTTACTTTATTAGATTTCATTTAATTTTCGTAAGTTCACCGATCACATTATACGTGGAACCGACAGCATGTATCGCAATACCACCCCTTGTATAACGGAGTCTCGTGCGATCGATCGAACGAGCACGACGTGGCGCTCCTGGAAAAGTACCCGTCTTTTTCAACCACCCCATGTATAATGTGTATGTGTAGGAATTAATTTGCAATATTTGGTATTATCTTTCGAATTTCTTTCATTATCTGAGAGATTGTTTGTCTTTTCTTAACGCTATATATACAGATTTACATAAAAAAACATATTTTTTCGTATTTTCCTTAAAAAGCGATTAAAAATTTTCAGTTGTCATCCATTATTTTCTAACGTTTGATCACCAACCCTCATAATCATGTAATTTTTAAATCTTTAATGAAAAATCTGTAATGTAAATTAATATTAATAATGCACTTTTACAATTTGAATATTATCTCACGCAAACGTCGAAATCGCAAAATCGTATAAAGTGCAACGCGTCTTACGCTTCCAATTAAAAATGTCGACCTCCGCGAAGCTCACGTTTCTCTTTTCCTTTTCAACCCCTTGATGTTTTAAGAAGCCATGTCTTAATATCAAACAAACACGAGATAGGTTTCGAGGCCTTTGAAGCCCACGAAATAAAAAAAGAGATAATATTGTCACTTTGCTTCACTCTTTAAGGACTCCGTCGTTCTCATCTTTCTCATCACCCTCCCTTTCTTACCCACCCCCTTTTGCGCGCAAGCTCCGTTCTCTCGCTGGCAGCTGCAGCTGCGCGAGTTTCTGCACAGGAGTAGGTGCACACCCTTCCGCAACTGCAGTTGGCAGTACGCTACTCCTCGGATTGCATATCCGCGACGTTGCTCGCATATTTTGACAACGACTTCGATCCCATCGAGTTTTCACTTGGTATATCGCGTCTCGGCACTGCTCGTTTATAACCGTTATCTTTTTGACGTCAGTTTTTGATAAATGTATATATATGTAGATCTTTTCTTCCAATAAATTCTCGGGAGTGACACTCTAAACGTCATGGAATTGCTTGGCTTTAACTGCGGCGATTGACGGGTTGAAAGTGAAAGTGGTGTAAGTCTATCGGCACGTCTATCGCTTTGTCTTATTACATTATTGACGTGTCTCATTGCAATATAAAATTATTATATTACAACCTACAGCGAATTATTATGCGTCTCTTTGTATTTCGGGAACAATATGGAAAATTAACTCTTTGTCCATACGATTGTTGTAGATTGATTTCTCGCTTTCTTCTTGCCGGCAGATATTCATAATACTCTATTTTGTAGTATTTTTATTGAATATCTATACCAGATTAGTAAAACGCTTTTCTTTAAGCAAAAAATTTATAATTTTTTTGCGCAATTTTATACGCAGCGTTATGAATTGATAATTATGTTTCCGCTTCCTCTGTATAGGTATGTATAATAATCTCGGACGAGTAATGTGATAATGTGTCGTCCGAAGGTGTATTATATGTACTATATATAACATTGTATTTGGAATTATAGATTATACACGATAAATGTAACTTACATCATGTTGTATACTTACAGACGAATTATGATACACGTGTCGTCCGAAAGCGCGCATAGATATGATCGGTTGAAACGCAAAGGGGCGGCTTTCCTAACGAATTTGTTTAAATCGAGAAAATTAACGGTAGGGATGAAGATTAACGAAGACGAAGAAATGGAACGAGCGCCCAGGGTGGAGACTCCCGGTGAGATATCCTTGGCTCTTGATAAAATTTGTTTATCTTTACGAAAACACGAAAATCTGTGAGGTTCTCAGTTTATCTTATTGTCCGTCAATTAATCATTGTTTTATTAAATTAAAAATTGAAAGCGTTAAATATATTCCGTCGGATGAAATTCTGTCGAATGCAAAAAATCTTAAGAAATGATACGTTGTTAATTTAGGAAGTTTAATACGGAAATATTAAAACGGAAATTATTTAATAATATTTACCTATACAAACTCATTTGTTAAAATCGCAGAAAGTTTTAATTAACGTCAACATTTACATTAAATCTCGTTAAAGGTTGCTTCATGTTTTCTGAATGATAAATAGCAAAATGAAGGTCTAACTAATAAATTACGCGTTGTGACAGAATAATTCCCCATGTGTTCGATTAATAAAACAAAGTTTCAGACAATAAAATTATATATTGATTGAGAGAATTGTTTTCTGTTGAGTTAATGAAAGCTCATGCGTACATGCGCGCGCTGTTACGTGCCGCAACTCAATATCTCACGTATATTTATGAATTCCATTTCTAAAATCCTTTTAAGATAATTTTTCCACACAACATATAAAAACTAAACCCTAATAAATCTAAGTCCCGTTATTTGTCTAGACCCTTATCCCGTGACTCACTTAATTACTTTTACTTATTACTTTTAATCTAAAATTTTTTTTCTGTATCTCCTAATCAACAACTATGAACGACTAGTTCCATTCTAACAGTGTCATACATCAAATTTTTAGTTTTACTTGTTCTTTTAAAAAGCCGCTCCAATCGCTACTTCCGATATTAGAACGCTTTGCGTTATTGGTTAATACGTATCAACGAAAATTCAACTTATTCTTTTAAAAGAGGATTCCTCTTAAACTGCTCGAGTTAGTTCTTAGTCGTCTCTTAAAGCGATTACACCTTCGACTCGTCGCTCGCTCTGTGCCAAATAAAGTCTTATAAGTGGACAATTGCCTACCTTTATTTTATAAAATCGTTGCGTCTCGCGCGTAACAAGCACACGTGATCGATAGCACGAGCAATGTTGTGCTTGCAGCAATTATTACGAATGCTTGTCGCCGGGGCGGCTCGGAGAACGACAGCACGATGTCCCGAATTCCGTCGACCTTGAGCGTGACAGCGGTGGACGTTGTCGTCTCCTGTCAGCCGTCACCCTCGCACTCGATTCTGACCCTGACACCCGGTAGAACGCGTAACATCGATCAGGACATGGAAGCACTCAGGCTGAGTCGTCAGGACAATCCTTTTCTACAGGTTCGGCCCGACCATTATTCCGTTCCATAAAAAAGACAGATTTTTTGGTGAAATTTTTCTATCTCAAACAATTTCGCGAATTGCTGGAATTCTGAATGATTCGCGACGTTGCTTTACTTTAATTTAAAAAAAATGCCTATTCTTGATTTCTATTATATTTCAGTCTTTTGGAACTTTAAAGCTTAACATCTAAAACGTTATAATTTCTTGCAATTGGCTTTAAATTTTTCTAAAAGAAACATTACAACAGTAAAATGAATTCTTTTATTTCTCGATAATGCTTCGTACGACTTTGCTCCGTAATATATATCAACGTAATTGTATGTAAAATTTTCTCTAATTATGCAGGTATTAGCAAGTCGAGAGAGCCTTGTGGAATCGATCGAGGAGTCCGAGTCCGACGATGCGATTCTAATGTCGCAGGTGAGCTCCCTCGTCAAACTTTCACGAGCTTAATAAAACATTTATTTCTATACATAGACAATGTAAACTATTATACATAGTATCATACATAAATAGTTTGCCTTTTTTACCATCATGACTTTTAAAGAAAGGAGTGGAATTTTTATAACTGTTCTAAATTGTCTAATCCTAAAGAATTTAAATGAAAATAAAATAATTGACCAGTTTTCGTGGATAGTTTTATATTTGGGCGCAAAAATTGAAAAAGAACATGATAAAGAATGAGCCAACTTTCTTGAAATGTAGTGTAAAAAGGAAGAAAGAGAGAAGTGTTTTCAAGAATATTTTATACTCCTTTTGAAAGAAGTATTATATATATGTCTTTCTAAGCGTGTCTAAGAAGAAGTATGAAAAGACATGTATTTTCAGGAATACGGTGACGCGGATCCGCTTACACTCGCGCAGGTACACGAGCACCTGGTCCGCAGTCCACCACCGGCTTCGTGGCCCAATTCCACGGCCTTCCAGTTTCCCAATCAGGACGAAAGCACCCCGGGCAAAAATGATGCGGCACTCCTAGTCAAGAGCCCGTCAAAGACACCCTCGCATCGCGGTAACGACCACGAGCTCTCGAGGAGCGAGACGACGACCGATATTAGAGGTGAGAATTTTAACGAGGATATTTAGGGTACGACACAACGTTCACTTTTAAGAGTTATTTAAAGAAAAACTGTGACTAAAATTACTTGAAAATCGATAGAAATTTGCTACTCGGGTATTTATTTCTTATAACTAAAATTATTTATTTCCTCCAAATCGATATACTTGTGTAACATAATTATAAATCGTATAAGAACAAATTATATTTATATAAAAATGATATTGTCAACTGTCAGTTGATATTAGAAATAGGAATTTTATGACAAAGAGGTATTTATGAATGTAACAGTAACGCGGTTATACTCGCTTTAAAAATTATGAATTAAAAAACTACCTAAAACTAATTGTTAATGATTAAAAATTTGAAACTTTTGTGTGATAAAAGATTACTACCTATTTATTTATATTATACATTTGTAACTAAAATGTTTCTTTCTCTTTCTCTTCTTTAAGAGTCGCAATGTTTGCAGCAATGATAAATTATACAAGAAAGAAATATGAAAATGACATTGTTTAATCAAATCGATGAAGTAGGTGGGATTCTTCGCGTGTCTAGGTGAAATAACGCCGACACGATACTGTGAAAGTATAGATCGGAGCTTCAGCAAATCGATTCGTTTACGAGAGACACTTACGTCCAACCTTGACACTGCACTCTAGACTCTAGACACGCGCGATCTCGCGATCTCTCCTTCTCTCCTTTTCATATATATATGTATATATATGTATATTGCCTCTTTCCACTTTTAACCCGATTAAATTAAGGTTCCTGAGAGCGGGCGATCGAAGGAAAGTTATAGCTTTTTATACTGATAAAATCGGATCAATACAACATTATATATAATATATATGATAATATCTAACCGGATATATATTAATCATACACACATTTACAAATAATAATTACACATAAATGATGATTTATAAACATATTTATATAAATTGTCTTCTCGCACACACGTAACAATTGGATATACATATAATAATAGAATAATAGATAAATACTATATAAATATATTATATATTTGTATACATATACACATTTTTCTATAATTGAAAAATTGTCTACGGTTCGATAAATCTGGAATATTACTTCCATATGCTATCTTTTTTTTTTTATTCTAGATCGGCATTCCCATCCCTTCTCGTTACTACATCCGACGCCGATTCGCTCCTTGTCGGAAGTTCGACGACTTCACCGATCGGCCGACGACAGCGTGCAGCTCATGTCGAACGAATAAATTTCGTCGGGACGTTGAATCCTGATCGGAACAATTTCTCGTGACTGAGGGATGTCGGTTCAGCTATGCCGAATATCCTTCGAGAACAGCGATTACTGACAAGTTGAAGAAAATTTCGTTCGTGTAAACGAAATTTATGATCGATTCCAGGCAAGGTTTGTCCTAAGAATTTAGAAGGTTGATACGGTGGAGATTCACACCGAGATTCTCATGTATCTGATGATACTTGGTCGTAGATTAAAGCTACGACATATTTGAGGTGAATGTGATAGGAAAATTATATACAGAATGATATAATGATGATTAATCACACGGTGATTAATGGAGCACGACGAGCATGAATTTCAAGCGCAATTAACACATTCTCTTCATTGAGAAACTATAAAAAAGAATGCGCATGTTGAAAAAATAACGATTTCATCGTTTTTGAATTTCTATAGTTTATCAAATTATATTCGTCGTTTGTTGTGTTAACCAGAAATCATTTCTTCATGAAATATATAAATTCGATCGTCGTCAATTGATTTAAATAATTTTAATTATTCTAATTGATGTTAATAATTTCTTCATAAGTCATTTGCAGTTACGATCGCGTGTTTTATCAATAGGCCTATTTTCTTACAAAATCGTTCAACAATCGAAGTATTCGGCATCGACGTTTTCCGACTGTTTACTTGTATCTTATAGATGTTAAATATCAGATTAATATATCGTGTTTTTTTTTACTTTTATTCGCGAACAGTATATTGAATAACTAATTACTTATATAAACCAGATATTCTCCGGAATAAATATTATATAAGTATCTTTTTAGCTTCTTGGAAATACGCCAAATCGAAGAGTCTAAGAACTCCAAGGTGTTACAGAACATCTTATATATGCTTGCAGTTTGCAGGAGATTTTAAGAATTGCACTATTGCATAATTATTATCAGACTTAACGAAAGATATTATCTCTGCTAAATCGTCAGCTGAGAGTATTAGATAAATATTTAACGTATTGTGTTTTTAAGCTTTTAAATTTATATAATTTGGATGCAATTGGATGCAAATAACTTTAAACTTTGCCCCTCGAAGAGCAATATACCGTTATGTAACAATCGTTAAAGTTCGAGGCTTAAAGTTATAATTATTAAATTATTACTCATGATGAATGCATTATCGCGGAATTTGTTGTTGATACGATAGTTATTGTTGAGGCACACGTCTGTAATTATTCGTGTAATTTAGATGTCTATTTTATGCAGCTGTTTTAGAAATATTTCACGTTTAATTGTAATCTTTTCTACCAATGAATATTAATTGCTCTGATCTTGATTGTTGTTAAGCTAAAAGAAATATTTTTGTTGACGAATTATGCATACCTGTACTGTATAAGAATTTCTGTTTTAACTAATTGCGAGGAAATTGTGAGCACAAGATACGCAATAGTTTTTCCATTAAAACTCACTTTTAATGAGACGATTGCAAAAGGAATAATTTAACTGATGCACACACGTAAAAATTGATAGCTCCGAAAAATAACGTTAACGCTAACGATGCGCCAAATGTACAGGCCTCTCAACAAAACAATTCCTCAAATTAGATAAATAGACGAATAGCCGTAAGATCTTTTTTATAGAGCGGACAAATTTTGTCGATAACGATTTACTTCCGAGGTTGAAAGTAGCATTTCTTTTAACGACAAAAACCGTTGTCAATGAATTCTCAACGAAATCATAAACATCTCTGTTTGTTCTCAGAATAACGATTTTTTCCAAGAGATAACGTTAACAGAATCTGACGTGCTCTTCTCAGATCTAATGTTATATAAATGTTACTATTATAATTATAAATTATATAAAACAATATTTGGAACCTTATAGAAAAAGAAATCTTAACAAAATCTATACAAAAATTAAATAAAACTATTATATAAATTGTTGCACTTAAAATGTTAATTAACTTTTTGATTGTCTTGGACGTTAAATGTTAAATTTATTGGCATATTGGCATGTTCCGAAAATTAAATATTAACTTAATACGTATACACAATACGTATATATTTACATAAAAAAATATTAAATTTTATTAAAATTATTTGTCATTTACATGAATTATTGTAAAGAAGAGCAGGATGTAAGTTTTTATAATTATTTGAATTAAATTCAACATTTAGAGCACGTCGGTTTCTTTTACAGAGTTTTTATACATTCTTGAAAAATGTTTGATACGGTTTTCTGATAAGTTTAAATACTTTAAATAGTAGTAGGGACGGGGGGGTGGCCAACCGAATGCAGTAGAATCACATATATTTATCACACAGAAATAACACACTATTAAAATATTATCATTACAATTTATACATACTTATATACTTATCTCTCATCCTCATGTATAAAAAATCATATAAACCAATCGTTAGGACAACTCCAAGCTCATTAATGTAAAAAGGAAATAACACTGTATTAAAGATAGAAACAGACTTCTTTACAAAAAGTATCTAATAAATATGTATTACATCTCGGTCATGGCCACCCGGGGTAGCGTCGAGGTCGAGAATAATGGGCGCAATTTTAGCAGGGTTTATATACGAACTTTGGGGGAAAAATTCAGTAGCGGAGTACGTAGAAAGTTATTATTATATCAAATTAGAGTCCAATCGACTTGGCCATTGAGAATTGAAATTAATTATATTGTATAATTGTATTTAGATCTCATAAGCGTTAGAGTCTGAAAGCGTTCTCGCTCAGAGCGAAGGCACGAAAACGCGGTAAGCCGATATAAAAAAAGACAGTAGAGAGACTTATTTAATCTAGTCGAGTGTAATATATGGATTTCACGTGGGATGTCCATGAACGTATTCCGAGCAAAAGTGCTGGACGGTATTCGTAGTCGTTTCTTGGTGAACATTTATTTATACAGTCTTTGTAAAGAGCTATTCTATAAGAGTTGGGACATTTACCAAATTTTTGTAATCCAGTAACACATTTTTATTATATTTCTTTATTTATAAATAACATGCATATATATGTAAATGCACATATAAACAAAAATGTTTTCAAGAAACGATTGTGAATGCCGCCCTATGTTCGAAACTTGCAAAGATTATTTTGAATATATATAACCTCAAGTGGGTTTATAGAATAAATTAAATATTGCGATTTTTTACGTTTAAAATGCAATTTGTAAGTTACGAATTTAATCATCTCTTTCTCTGAACAACTGATATGATAACGAGGACATTACTGAGCATTCGCACAGTACCAAGGGTTTTGAATATCGAGGTATTAAGCTAGGAAACGACCGGTATATATCTATAAATGATACACATTAATCCGACAAATTGGATTAGTTTAAAAGGTCTATATTATCAATAAGTAGATAATACCATCGAAAATCCGGCGCACCCTCCCACAAATAACACGAAGAATTCGTGGTACGCAGATTCGAGATAAGTCTTTTGATTATCACAACTTTCTCAATAACTAAAATGCCGCAAAATAGTTTTATCTTACCGTGTAACGGCCTACAAAGCGTGTACTCGTCGAAGACAATGAACATTAATGACAAACGAAGCAAACATTTTTATCGAATATTTTCACTTCGAGCAACTTTGAGGATTTTAGACATGTCTACTTGACTTTTGTTAAGCAAGTACGTTGCAAGCTCGAAATAAAAAAAAAAGAGAAGATTTTCAGGCGAACGCACAGCATAATTTAAAACACTCTGAATTCTGTAAAACTTTCGTTACATTATTATGTAGAACGTATGAGGTCTTTATAGGTAAAGTCTCATAACAGCCCGTATCGCCGTATTGTTTGACGATAATTAATTAAAGGGATTATTATCGATTGCGGCATTGATTACTTATAAAGATTTCATTTGTCTTCGCAACTATTAATCACATGCTGATTTGTGTGCAAAAACCAATAGAAAAATGAAAAATGAGAAGCAGCGGCCATAATTAACTCAAAGGAGATAAGAAATAAAAAACTTAAAATACTTTAGAAAAAAATATATATAGAGGAAAGTCCTCTATTATGAGATATAAGAATCCTAATATGAGATGGCGGGGTTTTTTCATGGTGGGATCAACAGATGGGATCTAAGGGCCTTTTAGCTTAACATATCTCATATTAGGATCCTGTCTCATAGGGGACTTTCCTCTATATGTATTATAAAACACACAATAATAATTATTATTATTTTTAAACTCTTATTTTTCACCTATAAATTCTACGTCTTTATAACATCTCGTACGTACATTTCGCTATTCGTTTTCGCAAACAAATCAGGGGAGGTCGTGGTAATACTATTAACATACTTGAGCGGGTGTGTTGGGGGGAGACATAGAATGTCCAACGCGCACAAACACATACACACATGAATACTTGCAAAGTATGCGTTTTGCGGTCGCGCGAAGATTGCGTCGCGATCTCTGGAGATGCGTTCGTTGTTTTCGAATAAAAGTGAAATATATTTGTGTTACTGTAAATGTAACGTTACATCGTATAATTCATTGCCTCCTGCCCTTTTACAGCAATCTATAATCGTTTTAACAATTTCATCACCTGTTATAATTTTAATGCATTTTTTTATATATTAAAAGTGAAAGTGAGTGAATGAAAGAGAGAGAGAGAGAGAGAGAGAGAGAGAGAGAGAGAATTATATGAAATATATACGCAATAAGATTTTAATTAATATAAATATTGTGTTATGATAATAATTCTTATTGGTCATTGCAGTGATCGAATTGTTTAAAATATAGCATTTAATCTTAGCATATATAAAATAATAAGAAAGTAAAATATGAACCCTAAAAGAACGCGTGTTATGTTTAAGTACAAGCCCGTCAGAGCAATCACGTGTACGCATGAAAATAATACTATACTATTAAGTTCATTATTTTCTCTTACAATTGTAAATCTGTAACAGGACGAGCAGAGAACCCGATTTGACGAGAACGAGCTGATCTGATTAGAAAAATGCCGTTAAACTTGGCATTTTTTGAATTTCTTTACTCTGACAATCATCATTTTATGTATCAATTGCCATGTGTTATTTCAATATATTATTTTGATATGAGCATTTTTAGATGAGCCTGGAACTGGATCTTTCTCCTCCTTTTCAGAGAGGACCTAAACTGCGTAAAAAAAGAAAAAATGACACGTAGACACATAGCAGCTCACGCAAGCAATGGCAGAGGATACAGGAAAGATTTTACTTTTTTTAACATTTCTTTTTTTTTTGTTTCAAAAATTTATCTAATCTTTTTTATCTATTCCATAATATCTCAGTTTAAAATTCTGGTTGTTTTTCAAAAAAAGGTATCCAGAAATAACTGTAATTGTTAGTAGTTGTCACCTGAAGTTAATAGCGAATTAAAAAATCAAATTTGCTCGTCGAATTACATTTCAAAGTTACTTGTCTCGAAGTCACTGTCAAATTTTTAACTTAAGTGTGTATCATCGATACTTCTCCGATGTTCTATTATTTCTACATGTACATTGTTTTAAGAAAATATTATTGTTTTAAGTGTTAAAATAATCTTAATTATTCCTTTCTTTTTTAATGATTGATATCAAGTATAAAAATATAAGATAAGAATAATACTGTAGAATTGTGTCTTTTCCATTTACATTTCCATTTACATTTTAAGTCAAGTTATGAAATTTTTAAAGCAACAGTTTCAAAGGTTAAAGTCAGTAGGAAAGTAAATTAGTATTATATAGCTAAGTTCCACAATTATAAACTCTCTTATTTATATGATTTATCACATTTACTTTAAAAATACAAATAATTTTCGACAAAAATCAGCTTACATCTTAAGGCAACAAATATAAACATAAATACATTTGATGATTTAGGGATGTTTTGGATAGTTTGTCAGAATGCTACGAGCATTTTGTTACGATACTTAATATTAAAATCTTGATTAAAATAGTACTTAATATTAAAATGCAATTGATACACTTTGCCACGATTTAGCATATTAGCATTCAAGCTAAATCTGGAATGTGAATGTACCATTGCATATTTACTACTGAAAAAAAAATTGTTAATCCCAAAAAATATTTAGTTCGATACGTTCAACTAAACATTTTAGTTAATTAACCAAACATTAGTTGTTTCAACAATTTACTTAGTTTCTTTAATCAAGAATTAATTAATTTAACTAATGTTTAGTTAACTAACTGAAATGTTTAGTTGAACGTATCGGACTAAATATTTTTTGGGATTTACAAACTTTTTTTCCTAGTGTACATATAAGTCTGTTATACCGACGCAAACAATACATACTTTCAAAGATCAATTTCATCTCATTAATCATTAAACTTTTTTTAATACATTGAGTTGTGCTAATGAAATATTTACGTATATATGCAAAACGCAATTTTTAGAGTCGATTGGATTAATGAAAAGAGCTCTTATAGACTCTCAGAGAATTTGCATAAACTTTAAAGACTTATTTAAGCCTTGTCTCCACGATGCTAGAAATCGCTCCGAAAATTAACTAATCGCATTGGCCAATTGTCGAATTGCTTAAATATGATTGGTCAATTTCTTTTCTCCATCCGAGATCTCGAAGCGATTTCTAATATCGTTCGAACACAAAGTTTTGGAACGCTTCGTTTGTTTTTCTGCCCTCTTGCTCACCTTCTTATAAGCACAAGGCCATGTACGCACAATTGTATATAAGGGAACGCTTAGCAATTTGACTGCCTGTTCTTTGTCTGCACGTACCGGTTGTGGATTGACTCGCAGTTCTAACGGTCCTAAAACAATTTTGACTTTCGTAGCTTCAGTTGTCGAGAAATTCAGGAAAATGTATCAGCTCTTTGTGACGATGACGGTAATCACGGTAATCAGCTTCGCGTCAATCAACGCGGAGTTGATTAGGTAAGTACACGTTATATACAAACGATTCACATTTATATCGACACAATAAATCATAATACTGTACAGAGATCGCGCTTCCAACTACTTGGAATCGCTGCAGAATTCGCGATAAATAATTATCAAATCAATTTCAAATACCATAATTGTATCAAATCTGTGAGAAAAACGCATTTTGAAAGTCGGAATAAAGTGAGCAAACTAATTACAAGAGATCCTTTGAGGATTCCTTCGAAAATCTTATTTTAAGTGAAATTAGCGTCGTGTGATATCCTCTTTTCATGATGACACCACAATCTCATTTAAAATATCTAATTACATTTTAATGCGTAAATATATGCAGGTAGCATATGTCAAAATGTTGAGGCTTTAAAATAGCTTTTAAATAAGAATTGCTTGAAAATGATCAAATAAATTGTTTGAAATTCGTGTTTATGTTGTACGATATATGTACATACATTCGCGTTTATACGATACGCATATAATATAACGGAATTTTTTTTATGTTGCTTCAAGAATTCCGTTATACAAGACATTCACCGATGAAAAATTTTTGACGGCACTACTCCGTTCGGGTACGGCAAACGTATCTTTGATTGATTATGACAATTTACAATATTATGGTACTATCGAGATTGGAACTCCACCGCAGACATTTAAAATACTTTTCGACACTGGTTCCTCCGATCTCTGGGTACCATCCAAAAACTGCAACGTCAGGCAACCTGCTTGCTGTGAGTATATTATAACATCGCTACCGCCCCGATATTCTATTATTTTTATATGTACATTTGTATTAAAAAAAATTAATGTTTTAAGTATTAAAATAATCTTAATTATTTTTTTCTCGTTTAATGATTGATATCAAATAAAAATATAAGATAAGAATAATGCTGTAGAATTGTATCTATTCCATTTACATTTCAAGTAAAGTTATAAAACCTTTAAAGCAACCGTTTCAAAGATTCGAATCAGTGGTAAGGTAAATATTATGTAGCTAAGTTCCATACTTCCATACTCTCTTATTTACATTATTTATCACGCTCACTTTAAAGATACAAATAATTTCTTATACAAAACAGCTCACATGCTGAAGCAAAAAATATAAACATAAACATATTTGATGATTTAACTAAATATATTTGATGATTTAACTCCTATTAGTTATATATATTTAGATTAATATAGAGAAATTTATATTTCTAGATTTTTCAATATTAACTGATTTAATTTTATTTACTTTTTTTTGCAGCAAAACATAATAAATATGATAATACACAGTCCACCACATACGTACCAGAAAAAATTACGTTTGATGTTTCTTACTACGATGCAAAGTGGCAAGATGTTAAATTGTACGGAAACTTATCTAATGATAACGTAATCGTAAGTCATCGTCAAGAAAATGATATATTTAATTATAATCACAGTCATAATCTATGAAAATTTTCTAAAAAGCACATGTTGCTATTATTCTCCGAAAAAGAACGCCCGCAATTATACTTTATTAATAATATTAACGTTTCGTAGATTGGTGGCCTTGGGGTAACATCTCAGATATTCGGCGAAGTGTTTAATTTCTCGGAAGGTTTTTTGCCCTGGGCACAATGCGACGGCGTTCTGGGGTTGGGTTATCCCGACTTATCTGAATTTGAAGTGCCTTCTGTCTTCCAAAACATGATTGATAAACATGTGGTGTCCCAACCAATTTTTAGCTTCTATCTAAATCGGTTTGTATCTTTCCGTATGCCTCACGTGTGTTTAATAGTATTTTTTTTATACTTTGTCTTTCCATGCAATGTAAAATGCAAATGTATAAACAATGTAAAAAATATACAATTCTATACAGAAATCTCACGAACGTGTTCGGCGGTGAACTGATATTGGGTGGCACCGATCCTTCCCATTACGAGGGCGAGTTTACATATGTTAATGTTACTAAAAAAAAATACTGGCAAATTACCATGGATAAGTATGTAGTTTTTTTTTCTAAATTATACGTATGTCAACCAAGGATTATATGTAAGCTAATTAGTAATGCTATCCCACTGTAGGTTTCAAATAAAAAGTTACACCTCTTGCTCGGAAGGCTGTAAAGCTATCGTCGACACGGGTTACCCTAGGATAGCTGGACCACCGCAGACTATCGAAGTTATTTACAGAGAAATCGGTGTTGTTAATGATACGGTAATTTATTATCCCTTTCTGCAATGGCAGCTTTTACAATTATCTTAAATAAATTATTGAAATAAATTAATAAATGTTTGATAAGTTACGGATTATTAATATGGATTACTAACATTGACCTTCGTTTAAAGGTGCCATGCGACGATGATTATATTTCTAAATTGCCCGATATCAATTTCGTCATAGGTAGTAAGTCATTTCGACTCATTGGTCAAGATTATATCTTGAAGGTAAAGAATATTATTATATAAAAGTTATTTAAATTGTTTTTAGAATAGAAATATCATGTCATATTTAATGTCTCATAGCTCGGCGCTGATATTGGAGGTAAATGCATTCCCGGCTTCCAAGCTGTTCCTCCGTTTGATGGTATAGAATGGGTTTTGGGCTATGTATTTATTGGTCGGTACTACACCGTATTTGACATGGGGAACGACCGAGTGGGATTCGCCACTGCAAAAAATTAAATCTTGATTGCCTTCTCATGAAGTTATCATTAAATATTAGGAAATCTAAGTGACATTACTAAACAAATAAGTCATATTATAGCTTCTTTAGAATATCGACTGACATATGGTCTGTAATTTTATTTGGACTATTATTTATATGTATATTTGGTATATTTTTAAATTAATACGTATGTGAGAATTTAGAAGAAAGATATATGCAATATTTATTCTACCAACGATATGGTACATTTTGTTCTTTCGGCAACTATCGAATTGTTAGATATTGTGACTACAACTTGTATATAAGTCGCTATTAAAATGAAGTATATATTTTTAACACTGAATATTGATTTCATATATCGCCCTTTCAATCTCATCTTAATGTAGTATCCCGAAAAATATTATCTCGTTTAATCTTATAAATTTTCTGCTTACATACGAGTACAAGATATCATATAACATTCTGCTTATATGTATAAGAGTTAATGACATATACCGCATTTGTAATCAATATATAACTTTTTACATTTCTTATGCTTACACAAACGTATACACGCATAAATCTTTTGCTTATTAATAAACATTATCTAAAATTTTCGACACATAGATACGAAATTGTGGATACGAAAATTATCATGTCGTATGTATTCTAATTAATAAATTGTTATAATATTGCAAACTTGGCTTAGGTATCTCACTATCGTTAATATTATAAACTTATATTTTGAAATTGTTATTTTTAGAAACGTGCATATTGTATTAACTACTGCTATAGTTTTAAATAAAATATGATACACAAAGAAAGATTATCGAGTAATTTTGATACATGATGTGTAACAACGATAATATTTTCTGGCAATACACGTTTGCAAAAATTTTATTGATTACAAGCCAATATGTCTCTACTCTAATATTAAAAGAAAATATCACATTATGGTACTATTCTCAATATGAAGACTACAGTGGCGCAAGTGTAATACAGATTAAATTAGTGAAAAGAGCTATTAAGCTGTACGTTCGAAGACTTCGAAGCCCAATGTTTAGAACTTTTATAACTGTTTGTTCGCCCTCCTTTTCACCTTCTTATAATAAACACAAGAATGTCCGCGCGCATCTGTACATGCGAGCAGCGACGGGAACGCTAAGTTTGATTACATTTTTTGTTTGTTGTGTGTATCGGTTGTGGACTGTGTGATTCGAAGTTATAACGCTTCTAAAACCTTCTTGATTTTTGTAGCTTTAGTCGTCGAAATATTCGGGAAATATATATCGACTCTCTGTTGCAATCGTGGTAATCAACTTCGTGTTAATCGACGCGAAGTTGCCTAGGTGAGTATACATATATCGCTACCTTCCCGACATTCTATTATTTCTATATATACATTTGTATTAAAAAAAAAATTATTGTTTCAAATATTAAAATAATCTTAATTATTTTTTTCTCGTCTAATTCGATTGATATCAAGTAAAAATGTAAGATATAAATAATGCTGTAAAATTGGGTCTTTTCCATTTACATTTTAAGTAAAATCATAAAAACTTTAAAGCAACAGTTTCAAAGATTAAAGTCAGTGGAAAGATAAATATTATATAGCTAAGTTCCACAATTATAAACTCTCTTATTTATATGATTTATCATCACGTTTACTTTAAAGATACAAATAATTTTCGACACAAATCAGCTCACGTGTCTTAAAGCAACAAATATAAACATGAATACATTTGATGATTTAGGGATGTTCTGGATAGTTTGAATGCTACGAAGTTGATGAACATTTAATATCATATTCTGTGTTCTCTTTCAAAGTTCGGGGCCAAATTTTAAATCAATTCACAATTTAGATAAAAAGTTATCAATTTTTGAATATCCGTTTTACAAAGATTTTACAGAGAAAAGTGTGAACATAAAAAAATGCTACCAATATAATGATATTTTACACATAAGTAGATTATCAACAATATGGCAACAAAATTTAAAACAATTTACAAAAATTTTTTTGAGAATTTTTTTTTTAAGAAAATAATAGTGACAGTTATTTACAGTCACTAAATCTACGTCTTTTACGTTCTGTTAGATTTGCCGTAACTATTTCATATACATTTTTTTGTTTTTAGACCTTTCTGGAGAATTAATATCGGTGTTTTTAATATTTCTTGAATCCTTTCAGTTAGGACGGAACACTCCCAATGAAGAGAATGACACAAGGAATCCAATTGAGGGTACCTCCTCGTCTGATAAAATCTGTATAATTGTCGAGGATGTTATCACGAGTGGCAACGATATTCTAGAAGGGCCGTCAAATGTATAAAAAAAGATAACCCAAACACTATAGAAGTTTATGTGGTTGATATGGAGTAAGATAGCAAGAAGAATCTCGAAAATCACGGGATTAAAGTGAAAAGTCTATTCGAGATTACACAATACATGAAGTACGTTCTCGAGGCTGGAAAGATCACGCCCGAAATAGTTAAAAACGTTGATGATTACGTGGCAGCGAATCAAGCAGCGAATATTTCCACTTAAGGTATATAAATTGTAAATAGATATTTATAATAGATATTTTATGATTAATGCAAGTATTACATTCTAATTTTGTCATTTTAGTAACTCTATTGCTTTTATTTATATAGACGCACCAAATGACAAATTCAAGCTGCATAAGGTAAATGAGTAAAAAATTAACGACGAGTCCATCAGTCTCGAAGCTGCCATATGTTAGCAGCTAGAGCTATAATATTATATGGAATCAAAACAAATATAAATCTATACTTGGCGGTCAATTTCTGGATCTGCGCAGTTGTTTTTCTAACAGATATATATTATTTACTTACACTTTATTAATATTTTAATAATTAATATGTTAATATTTTAGATATATATATATTTTGCATACTTTATTTTTATATATTTTATATACATTTTACATATATGTTTGAAATGAAATGGAAAATTCTAAAACAATACATTGCCTTAGCAATCTTTGTCAAGTTACATATATTATAATTATATAATGCGCTGATAGAATAAGAAGGATATTTAATCAGATTGATCGAAAAATTTATTTAGATTTCTGGTATATGACTTTTATTATTGTCGTGTTCAGTGGAGGCTAACTGATGCAGACCCAACGCAACAACTTGAAAATATTAAACGCTACATATAAAAAGTATACATATATATTTAGGATTAAAAGTTGAATTTGTATTATGAATTTAGCACTTAATTATTGTTTTAGGTACAAAGAAATATTTTATTATTTTGTTTCCAACTTTACATATTATTTTAATGCACAGTTATTTATTTATTTTCTGTAATTATATATATATAGTTTATATAATCGTATATTAATATTTTTGTTCAAAAACTTTAGAAATGTTTTATTTAAAAAGTTGACTGTTTAAACATTTAATTAAATCGATTAAATTTACTTGTTTATTTTGTGTTAATATTCCAATTTTGTATTAATTTTCCAATATCAATAATTTTATTTTATTTATATAAATATATTTTAATATTTGTAATTTTATTTGGAATACTCTCTGTTAAGTTTTTCTGCGATTGCAACAAATAATGGTATTTAATAAATCATCAGCTGCATAGAGTATTAATAAACTTGTTGTTACCAATAAAACCCGTGCTATTTATCTTATAAAAACTTTTATGTATAATATTCTTATTTTATTTCTATAAGAGTGTAATGATACCAAAAGTTTTTCGAATCAGATGTACATATAATACACTACTGTGCTACGTTCTTGACTTCTTGCACATGCGTCGAAAAATTGCGCAACTATCATCATGGTGGGGCTGCAGCGTTCACTCGGTTCACTTTGTGGAGTTTGGACGCTTTCGTGCTGAAAGCGGCCTGAAAGCATCGTTCCATCTTTTCTCAACGTGTAACGAGCAATAAAGATGGACTGACGCTTTCAGCACGATAAGCGCCCAAAGCGAACGGATGGGATCGCCGACGACGCACGCCGACACGTGAATCACGTGGTTCGTACAAGCAAGAAATATAGGTTAGGTTTTTAATTTAACATTCTCTCTTTCTTTTTTCCCCAAAAATCCAGCTTATTGCTCGTAACATCGTAACTTACAATGTTTGCTGTAAAATCTCCAATAAATAGATCCAGAAATAATTGTCACATAAAGATAATAACGAGTTTAAAGAATACAATTTGCAGCTACTTGTCTCCGCGGTGTCATCGTCAAATGTTTAACTTTGCGCACGAAAAATGTTTTAATGCATCGCTATAATTACAGTCGACATGGAGGTGCTCTTGAAAGAATTAGCTGTGGAACTGTACGAGATTCAGGCCGTGAAATTCGGGGAATTTAAGACGAAAATCGGTTTAAAAACGCCGATATATTTTGACCTGCGTATAATTATCTCTCATCCAAAATTAATGGTAAGTATACATATGTGAGCATCTTGATATATATATTGTAAATTTATATCAATGCAGAGATTAACTTTAATCTCGATTTAATTCGCTTTTTATCTTTTTCAAATTCTTAAAACTAGAAGAAGATAAAAAGTAAATTAAACCGAGATTAAAGTTAGCCTACATTGGTAGAAATGGACATCAGAAATCTTGACTAAACTCTGGTTAACTTAATTGATGATTAACTCACTAGATGATATCACTTTTTTCAAGATGGATAAAGGTACTAATTTTCTGATACATAAAAAAAATATTAAATTACAGACAACCGATTACATAATCAGAAATTTTGCTGTAAGCACTTTGCTGTTTGCACTTTTGCCAGTTGAATTAATTTTCAATTGAGTTAACTGAAATTTAACCGAAGTTGCTTACGATGTGCAATGTAAAGAATACTAATTCATTTTTCTCTATCGTAGGCGAAATTAGCGAGAGCTCTGTGGACACTGGTGGACGATCCTACGAAAGTGTCCAGAATTTGTGGTGTCCCGTATACCGCCCTGCCACTAACGACTTTGATATCGGCGGAGGAAAATATTCCCATGTTGATGAAGAGAAAAGAAGCAAAATCGTATGGCACGAAGAAGTTAATTGAGGGTGCCTTCTCACCCGGTGAGACTTGCGTGATCATTGAGGATATTATCACGAGCGGTAGTAGCATTTTAGAAACTGTCGACGCCTTGAAGAAGGAAAATCTGAGTGTGACGGAGACTTATGTGGTAATCGATAGGGAGCAGGGTGGCAGAAAGAATCTCGAGAATCATGGGCTCAAAGTCAAGAGTCTGTTTGTGACTACGCAACTCATGAAGTATCTCCTCGAGGCTGGAAAGATCACACCTGAAATGTTCAAGATTGTTGATGACTACCTGGCAACAAATCGGGCACCGAGCGTTTCTGTTCGAGGTAAATTATTTGTAATAGATATTTTATAATTTTAACATGCTGAGCACTCTACATTCAAATTTTGTTCCAATTTTAATAACTGTTGCTTTTATCTACAGGTGTGCCGGACGACAGACTGGAGCTGCCATATAGTAAACGCGCAAAATTAACAATGAATCCATTGGCCTCAAAACTGCTGGAGCTAATGGAATCGAAGCAAACTAATCTCTGTTTAGCGGCCGACCTAAAGGAAGCGGACGCGATTTTGGAATTAGCAAACGTAACGGGGCCTCATATTGCCGTGCTGAAGACTCATGTGGACATCATAGAGGATTTCAATGAAAGCTTTATTCTTCGGCTTAAGAAACTGGCGAAGCAGCACAGGTTTTTATTGATGGAAGATCGCAAGTTTGGCGATATTGGCAACACGGTATCGTTGCAGTACAGACACGGCTTGTACAAGATCGCCGAATGGGCCGACTTGATCACGGTGCATCCGGTATCGGGAGCGTCTGTCATCGACACGCTGAAGAAAAGTGTGGAGAATATCAGCGAACCCCGTGGCATTTTCCTGGTCGCCGAGATGTCGTGCGAAGGTGCGTTGACCACCGGCGATTATACGAAGAGCGCGGTCTCGATGGCGGAGAAAGCCTCCGATCTGGTAGTAGGCCTCGTGAGCCAATCCAATCTTTCGGCGCAACCCGGACTGCTCCAACTGACACCCGGTGTCAAGCTGTCCAAAAGTGGCGACGGGTTAGGTCAACAGTATAACGATCCGCGATCTGTTATCAATGCCGGTGCTGATTTAGCAGTCGTTGGCAGGGGTATCACGCAGGCGCCTGACGGTTATCTGAAGGCCACTTTAGAATACAAAAGGGAACTTTGGAACGCGTACGAGGAGCGGATAAATGCATTCAATATTACATAGTAATATATTGTAATTGATATATATCATTTACAAATTATTTTTCTACAATTTTATCTTCTGTTCCAGCGGGATCTGCGCAGATATTTTTCCAGCAGTTATATTTTAATGAATATTTTAATTGTTAGATTTTCGCAGTACAGTTTTTGCATATATTCCTTCTTTCGATGAAATAAAAATATAAAACACACATGTATGTATATACATACATATCATTTTATATGATTTTAAATTTTTCAAAGATAATCTAAATTATAGTAAAATAGAATGAAAAATTCTAAAACAGTACATTGCCTGAGCATTTATCTTTGCTAAATGATTATGACGCACTAATAGGATAAATATATTTAATCAGATAAAGTAAAAAGCTCCTTTATATTTTTGGTAAGACTTATTTTATCTATAGAATAACAAAGACAATAGCAGGAAACCTACGAGTTTTTGAAACCTCGATTTAATGTTAAAAATAGGTATGTATTTATTATTAATCGAACTTTGCATAATTTGTACAAATACACAATTTATTCCACAGAAATGATGATAAGTATTATTTTTATATGAATACATATAACACATACTTGTACAAACCAGAACTCTGTTTTTTTTTTTCTCTATTTTGTGACAGATAAATCTAAAGGTGTTTACAGGGTAAGGCCCTTCTTCTCGTCGTAATTTTGTTTTTATTTTTTTAAATAAATGATCACGAATTTGAAGTTAGTATAACCGTCGAGCACGTAGTATACAGTATACGTTCAGAAGTTATTTTATTAAACGAATCCTCTACGTTACGTATTGCTTTCTCACAACCCATTCTGACGTGCTGCAATCCCTTTTTGAAAAATTCATATTTTTAAAATATAAAATGCAGTAGCTTATCTCGCGCTTGCGTGTAGATAACAATATAATAACATACATTATGTAAAACTGAAATATCGCGAATCTCAATCTCTGTTATCAAAACATGGATTTAAGAGAATTAAAGAAAAGATGAGATTTGAGAATAAGCTGCTCGATCTCGTTGCGAATCGCAGATCGCCGAGAGAGGCGGCACGCGGCATCGTCCTGAAGTCAGTCGCGCGCCATTCGTCAGCGAGCGGCGATTTTTCCGTGCGATAATGCACGTCAGGTGTCAGTCGACAGCCGCTTGTCGTCGCGCGCGGATCATCGAAAAAAGGGGAAGGAGAGAGAGAGAGAAAGAGCGTCACGACGGATCCTTGAGTCTTCCGCAAAACCTAACTGATAACGAATGTCGCGAAGGTGACGGTAACGATAAGCTAGCCTGATGAGCATGTCGGCGTGACATATCGTTCGCATCATCGTTAACTGACGTTAACAGGTAATGAAATTATCGCTGCGCAATTTGTATAATCCCGTAATCGCGCCGCATGTGCCGCCAACTTCGCTCCGCTCGCCGTTTTCGAAACGCGAAAGCGTGTGTCGATCGTCAAAATGATCGAACGACGGACGGCGCGCGGAATGAACGTATCCAAAACTTTGAATACTCCGAGTATAATCAAAATTACGTGATATTCTACATAATCCTTTAGTAATAACGAAATTCCGCAGCGTACATTTGAATTTCTACGATTCCGCAAAAATGGACGTGACATTTCACGGGCTGCGCTTCTTGTCCGCCGATTTTAGAGAGCCGAGGCGGCCGAGGCATCGTCCTTCGTCCCTCATCGGCACACCGCCACCGGCGCGGCATGACGGAGACGACGACACTGACGGAATTCGAGGAAAGCGTGTCCTTCGACGCGGACGATCCGGACTTCGCGCCGCCAACGTCGGACGCGGTGCGAAATGTCCTTCTCCGCGACGCGCGTCGCTTCGCCGACGCCAAATACGACGTTAGCAAAGGTAGGCACACCCCGATTGCCTCCTAATCGCTCTCCCCTCCCCACCTCCTCTCGTCGCCGGCGGCGTTCTTTATTTTTAGCCTATTTTTAGTCTAATTTTAGCCGCCTCACTTTAAACTCGACTTAATCGCTTCAATTTACGGCGGACTAATGATCGTAATGGAAGAGGGGGAGGGGACTGAACGTTAGAAATTGAGCGATATCATTACTATCGATTATTTTCACGGTATTGAGCTTCGAACGGTGGTGCCGTTTTAAAAAGAACGCCCACAGCTTATTGTGCTTTCCGTAAATAACTTATACGCCCAGAAAGCCCTCTTTCTTCTCTTCTTTTCCGTTTCTTCGTGAAACGGAGACGTGCAATAAGGCGCAAGGTTTTAGAACAATATATTTTTAATTAAACTAAACGTCAATTCAATTATTTATTTATCGAGTGAATCAACGACAAAAAGGCCATTATAATTAAAAAGAAAAGAACTCACGTTGTTACAAAATACAGCGTGCAATCATTTTATTGTATTTTTAGACTAGACTGTCCCAAGGTTAAGCAAAATCGATGCCGAGATTATGGGATGTCGATGGCGATGAGGTGTCGTTACTTCACATTGCAATATTACGATATTACATAAGACGATAGTACATTTTTGACTCGTGCGGTTATGAAATTTTGTGGAAAGTAGATAAATTAACAGGAATTGACATTCCACTTTCTAAATTTATATTCTATAAAACTCACACGAACGTCAATGATATCTCGATATCAAGAACGCGATCCTAAAACTCTGCCCTTTTCTATTATCCTTCCATCCTCTTGCAAGTAAATAATACAATTTTTCAATAGAAAAACCAAGTTGTATTATATATCGCTTTCTAAGTCACGCTTTATTCGGTTATATCGCTACGTTTTACACTCTAAAGATCGACAAGATTGTCTATCTAATCGCTTCTAAGATATACAAGACGCGAGGTATACAATGGTGACGGTTTGTGACGAGAAATTGTGACGAGATAAAGAGAAATCCGCGCGAAATCCGAGTAGGCGATCTCTAAAATAATCGGCAATTATCTCGAGGAGATTGGGTATTTCTCGTTTCGCAGCTTCTCCGCGATACTATACACTGCAAATCCAGTGTGTTATTTTAACTGAAGTTCTTCTTACACATTTTTTTTGCCGTTTTAAATCACGTCATTTAACACGGTTAAACGTATTAACTTTTAATTTGATACGATTAATAACGGGTTAATTTAATTAACATGCAACCAAACATGTAAAACGAGCTTCAGTCAAATGTGTCATTTTCAGACGTTTATGCGCGCAGAAGTAACACACTTGGATTTATAGTGTTCGTTTTGCTTTCACACACAATCAGAAAATTCGTGTACTTTTGTGAAAAAATATACTGATCAAAGTTTTTGTATTAAATAATCAACATGGCCATGTGTAAATTTAACACGCATCTGCTATGTTAACTAAACAAATATAAAATGTGAAATTATTGAAATGTTTTAAAAAATATATTAAAGTAACAATTTTTTTGTACATATTTATTAAATGTGTTAAAATTGGCAGAAAAAGAGTGCTAATTTTACTCTATAAGAGTTGTTACTTTGTAAAATATAAAAAGGACATTTCTTATGTGTTAATCTCATCATAAAAGTTATGTTAATTGTACACCCAATTAATTCCAAATTCCGATCAAAATTACATTTCTTTTTTGTTGAGAATATTAACATAGTATCAGTGTTACGCTTGACACAAACACATTACGTTAAATTAACACCAAAATTGAGTGAACCGTATGTTAAACATAACACAAGTTTTCCTGTGTTTTAATGTTCAGCGACGCTCGTGTTGGCGCGTGTCGGTGTGCCCTCGTACATTCGTAAAGCGGCCACGCGCCACGTCCGGATCAGCGCGGCGCGTGACCGATGCGTGCGATATCGCGACTCGACGAGCGTCGCGCGTGTTAGATTTTAAAGTGCGCAAATTTTCGCACGGATATTCGGATACGCGGCATTCCTGATGAGTGATGAATAAACGAAGAAGAGAGAGGGACGCGCGCGCGCGCGCGCGTCGGCGCTCGATCCGTTCTTATACGCAAAGACCGACCGCTCGCACTTTCATCCGTCGATCTTTGTCCGCGGCCGTGATATGAATGAATTAACGATGACACGGCGACGGAAGTGCTACATTTGCAAAGCGAAATCTTTTACGTAACGGAATTTTCCTCGCGCACGTTCATTCGGGCCCGGTCACGATTAATCCGAGATTATATTCTTCGTAGGAAGGGGAAAAAAAGTCCATCTTTTATTTAAAAGACATTTAAAACGCGTGTCTGAAAGAGATAGCACAACTCAGTGACGTGTTTGCAATAGCTTTTGATTTTTATGTGCCGTCTGGATTGTCTGGACTTTATCTCTGGATTCGAATAAAAACATGCACGAATTTTGGTGCGAGAATTAATATGATTGTCGGTACATCGCTGAATATGATTTTATCTAAGCTTCTTTATCTCTCTCTTCGATTCATATAATATAAATGTAGGGATAAAAGCATTAACCCTATTCACTCCAACCATGTCCTTTCGTGTCCCACGAGTTTCTAACAGTCGTTTTTTTGTGAAAAACAAATTATCGTGGGATCCTCCCCACGTCGGAAAATGATTTTTTAAATAAAACGAGTCGTAATGTGTGTTTGTCAACATATAAATGTTGTAAAAAAATATTTAAATAAATGATTTCCAAATGTTATTTATATTGATTTTTAGTCGAAGGTACAAAGATATAATAATTTTTGGGGTATTTTTCAAAGCTATTAACATTATAAAAAACACGTGGGACTCGAAAGTGCATGGTTGGAGGATTAAAGGGGCGGAAAAAACGTTGGAGTGAATAGGGTTTAAAGTAAATCGCGAGTTTTTATAAAATTAGGTAAACATTTGTGAAAAATCAAGATCGTTAATTCTGATTACAGGATCAGGTTATTTAATCTTTTAATACATTTTATATAGACACAAGATTTTTTTAAATCGTAGATTTATATTAATTTTACGTTGCTACTGCTGTTTAATCCCGTTAAAAACGCGAAGCGAGAAAGGTGGGGACGCGGAGAGAGTCGTAATATTTTTAAACGAAGACTCATCTCGAGAATCGCGTATTCAATTTCGCGGAATCAATTCTCACTCTGTTGGTTCCGCTAACAATCCGCCTACTCTTTGCATATATTTCCATGCTGCTGCGATAAACCGCGATCTTCTCTCGCGGAGGGATGAATCAGCGCGCAGACGAAAATGAGGATCTTCTCGGAAGGATCTCACGCGGAGAGAACGCGGCGCTCTCCTTATCGTTCTTGCTCCATCCCCCGTCGTCGTGCCCCGCGCGACTCTATTATTATATTATACTAACACGCACGGCGAAGGGCACGAAACTCGATCTACCGACAAAATTGGATCCGCGACGGCTATCGCTTTCCTTCCCGAGAACTCGACGTATGTCGGAACCGATGCCGGTGGTAGTGGTGTTAAGTATACGTCTCGCACGTGCACTAATCGTGCAAATAAAGAGTATCCTTTGTTATATGCGATAGGGGAGGAGGGAGGGTAGAGAGACGCACCTTCATTGCCACCGAAGGGTATCATTTGGGTTCTTGGGTAGGTTCATTTGTAAATGATAAGGATTGACGAGTATTATTTTGCAAAAAGGGAGAATTTAGTGTGTATTAATATAGCACAATTAAAGCATTACGTGTCTAATTAAATGAAAAATTATATGCCGTAGAGTCATATATTATTCGATCT